TTGAAGCAAATATTACAAGCTTTAAAGTTCAGAACATTAGATTGATATTCTTATCGGAAATTCTTAAAGTGGAAGGACAATGTCAAAACAGAGAGAGCTAGAACCACATGAAGGAACGTTGTCTCAGAGGACTTGATTATGAATACAGCATAATGCAAGAAAGGATTCATATATTCAAGCCCAACTAGTTTGAAATTAAAGTTTAGTTGTTGTAATCATGATTACTGAACAATCATCTAAAAATGAGAAGGAGAATTCAAGCACTACTGTAGCAACTAATCCGTCTAATTAAAAAGAATAATCAAGCGTAGCAATTTTACAAAGAAATAAAGACCAAAAATAGATAAACATATCAGTAGGCCTAACTCACAAATCGAAGTAATAAGATATCAACAAAATGATATAATACATACTATCTCCATTGCACACCACAAACAAAATAAGAACCCACAGTTTTCTCAGAAGAGAAAAAGATAGCACACTTGAGTATTTGGTGTATGTGGAAATAAAGAGAGAGACACATGGAGTGCTGAATTAAAAAAACTGGCCAAAGAGCATACAACAAAAGAAGTACCATAACTAGGTCAAGAGATTATTGCCCTCGTCTGTCCTAAGCTAAAACGGCGCTACTTCAGTCACAATAACAAAATTCTCAGTTTATTAAACAAAACATATCATCAAAGATGCTACGAGCTATTGTGTAATAGTGTGTTTTTCTAAACCCACTAAATACTTCTACGATACAGCTTTTCCAGTGATCTCTAAAATGCATAAGAGGAATAAACTTATACAACAATTTGCACAGCAAACATAATCGAGGAGGAAATATAGATTCATTCTTGCTTTGTTCACATCGTTAGGAAGGGTGGGTAGAAATCCCAAGCAAGCACCAAGATTATGCATAGTCATGGCTCTCTCTTGTGTACAAAAATAAAAGGCAAAGGTACCCCAGAAAGCGCTTCCTATTAAATACCTAAAATAAGTTTGAAATTAAAAAGGTTTTAGGTTAGTATATGTAATCACATGAATTTACTTAAGAACATAATAACACACACAATCAGTGTCACTCGTGAGAGAGAGAGTGAGAAAAGAGAATTCAACGAGCACTCATATTTGGTACGTACTAGGTAGAGTCGCAAACCTTAATCCGTCGACGTATGATTTAAAAAGCAATAATCCAAGCGTAGCAATTTTACACAGGAGATGATAAACAAAGTATACGGCAGGGCAAAAACTTAAAATAATAAACATATTTCAGTTTTAATATGGGTTTAAAATCCGAACGCTCATACACACATCATGGTATCTATTAATCTGTGTGAGATAAGAATATGTTAAAGATATCAACAAAATGATATCCTTATTGATATATCAATACTTATCATCTAAGAGTCTTCAAAAAAGGAGTGTCATTACATGCTATGAGACAAACAAAGAATCCAAATTTATAGAATGAAATTATAAACAAATAAAGAAACCCACAACACAGCAAGGTCAAAAATGAACTAAGTCTTTATCTTGCGAGGATTAGAGATGAAAATAATTGAAGATTAAGCTATATATTTATGAATATTATTTTGGTGATAAATTGTGGAAATAAGAGAGAGACATCATGGATGCTGAATTTGAATGAGAAAAAAGTCTGAGAGGCCAAAGCGTTCCTAAGCTATTTTTTTTATATCTTATCACACAAAAGAAAAAAAAGAAAAATAATAAACTAATGTCGTTCTCAATAAAATTAAAAGAGTATTATCTGCCAGGTTGTGTTAAAAAAATAATTCATCTTGAGAAAGTCAGGTCCCCTAAACTAGGCTATTAGAAAGGCTGTTTTATTTATATATAACAAAAAGTCAGAATAAATACGAGATTATAAAACAGAGATAGAACTCCATGGTTGTATTGTCTTATCTACAAGCGAGAGAGACATATTCTAATAAAATATAGCATTCATCGGGTTTTTGGTAGCTAAGTATGTGTGTTATAGCATAGTTGTGTTTTTATATTTTAAACTCACAAATCCAATCCACTAGAGGATTAAATTATTTTTCTCTAACACTAACGATACAGCTTTTCCAGTGATCTCTTAAAATGCATAAGAGGAAAAACTTATACACAATTTGCAACAGCCATACATAAGTCGATGGAAGGAAATATAGATTCATTCTTGGCTCTTTGTTCACATCGTTAGGAAGGGTGGGGGTTAGAAAAGTCCCAAGCAAGCAAACCCAAGATTATGGCCATAGTCCCATGGCTTCTCTCTTGTGTACAAAAAATAAATTAGGCAAAGGTACCCAAATAGGTAAATAGAAGTTATGTATCATTCCTCATAGAAGATAGAACCGTTATACACCAGGAAAGTTAACAAGAGGCAGTAAAATTATAAGAGGTCAAAGATAGTAGTTAGAACATTAATCATTCTCATAGAGAGGAAAAGTTACTTAATAACAAGGAAAAAAAAGGTATGATGGCATTTAGCGTGTCATTAAAACTAGTAGCATACAGAGAATGTATATATTAAAAAGAAAATACTTTAAAAAGAAAGATTCTAATAGTCACAAAGTAACACACAACTGAAAAAATAAGTTGATCTTAAAAACTAGTCTCTTACAAAATTAGATATTCCAAGCCAAAGCTATTATAGATTTAAGAAAAATAATACTCTTAGGCTATTCGTACTACTCGCATATGAAACACATTGACTGAAAGCTTGCTACTCCATATAAAATCATGGAAGTCGTCAATATTATAGACCTCTTTCAGAACTGTGTGATTCCATCTTGATAGGGGTTGGCCTTTTTAATCACGCGTAAACACGCAAATATCGTAACCACTTGCCAACTTTATTCGTAAAATATAATGGTGGACCGAGGCTTTAATAGAGAATATAGAGAGAAAAAACATTCCCTCTAACTTAGGTCATTTTGAAGCACTTATGAATATTTTTTACATTTCAAGACAGATGGTATCATCTTTTGCATTTTGTGTGTGCACTGTTCTCAAATAATGTCTGATTAATTTGTTGAATTCACTTATAATGTGTCTATTTCCACTTTTAGTGTTCTCAACGTCTGCCAAAATTGTCAACATATTTAAGTGAAATTAGCATGTACATCTGGTTTCCTTTTCTTCTATTGGTCCTTTCTCGTTTCTTGTATCTTGGCTAACACAATGCATGGCAACGAATATAGATGGATATAATAATCGAAAAAAGACGTATATGCATAAAGTGATCCTATGGGATGAGTTTCACTAACTATATCACTCGTAATAGCCGCACTAAACAACACTAGAAAGATAATTGCTAAGGACATTCCTAATAGAAATAAGCACATCACGTAAGGATGAGAAATGATAATTGTGTTTTCATAGTGTACCAAATTACTATAAGTGTAGCAAGGAAAGAATTAATTATAAAGAAAGTATAACTATGATCATGTAAGATTTTCTTGTGTAATAAATATTTTGTAGATATAATAGTAAAGACGAAGTTAATAAAAGTTTTCAAGTCTATAAAATTGAGTCGGATACTGAATTCACAAAATCATTTTTTGACCAAACAATGCATGTGGCGCTCTGTATACGCTCCAATAATGATTGATATTCACAAAGGAGTGAACATTGTTTTAACCAGAACTCAAATTTTAACAAATAACCACACGACACAAACGCACCGCACATAACATTGACGAATAAATGAAAAGAAATTTTGATTTCCTCCTATCGAGAACTGTAACACAATGAGTTTAGTTAGTATTATCAAATGTTAAAATATATAAATTTAAAAACACAACATATATAGTCAATAAATAGATGCACATAAGAAACTTCGCGCATAAAATGGTATAATAAAAAGGCTTGAGACACGTTTGGTAAAGAATAGAGAATATTAATATCCAAACGAAAACAAAATTAGTAAAATATAATTTGAGGTGTCTAAGTAGGTGTAATCAATATATTTTCATAATCAGGTGCAAATAAAATAGCGCATGAAAAAAACATAAAATTTCTTTGCAGGAAACCTATCAAATAGAAGGTTTCCTCTTCCTAAATAGGTCCATTCATCGTTGGGTATAAGAATATTAATTGCTCTGAGATCACTTTTTAAGATTATAGTTATGAACAAACAAAATATCAATGAGAGATTAAAATAAAGAATGATAAACTACGGGTTTCATAGTTTTTCACAGGCAAGCTATGAGTTCAGGCGTTGGAAGTATGCAAATCAAAAATTCAGTATCACATCATCGGAGTTCCTCCTCTATTCGAGGATCTGCAATAGATATCAGAAATCAAACACGGACCTGCGTAAACGTGATCAAAGGTATAACCATAGAATAAGAGAGCTTTGTGGTGCTTATACCTCTACTGAGATGCTGTACAACAGGAATACCACACTAATTTTCTCCCTTTAATTTTTGCTCATTCTGTCATTGGCAAAATTAATTCAAATATCATTATTTGCTAAAGAGACGGTCAGCTCATCGGGCCAGAAACTTCGAACGGTTTTTTGGACAAAAAAAATGATATGTCAAACACGAAAAGAAAATGAGAAAACAAAAGCAAAATCATGATCATAAGATCTGGATACAATAGCAGAACATATAAAAGAAATCTCGGCGGAAAATTCTAAAATCATTTTGACAATAGTGCCAAGCATATTTCACAAAGGTACACCATAACCACCAATGCGATAATGAAAAGAATTTGATTCTCTATCGAGAACTGTAACACAATGAGTTTGTGATATCAAGTGTATACACTTGATAAATGAAAGACTTGGAAATTATAGCTGAGAATGAATTGTTAAATCAACCACTCAGAGGTCCAATATTTTCAATCAGGTGCAAGTTGCCCCTGCATCCTCTGGGGTATAATTTCATCACTTCATAGTTCACAGCAAGCTATGAGTTCAGCTGTGCAAATCTAATCTTACTTGAGCTCCTCCAGATCCAATAGATTCTAAAACCAAGACCAAGCAAAGGATAACCATAAAGGGCTTGTGGGTATAAAATGTTTCAAAACACAACTTGGCCCTCCACCTGGCACTCAATATCATGTTTGCCCGACCAGAACTTCCAATGGAGCACATGTCAAACATAAGATCCCACAAACTCCATGCAGCATAAGAAAACTGGTTGGCCACCATCGCCTCATAAAAATACCCCATGCACACCTCTCACCATAATTTGTTAAACATTATACATAAAGACATTAATGATGAATGCCATCATGTTATGTATATGATTCCATTGATGTTAGAAAATAGAAAGAGAAGATTCTTTAAGACATAAAACAAAATGTTGGAGGAGACTGGAAATCATAGCTGCATTTGTGGTTAATGAGTCACAAATTGGTCAGACTACTTCAATCCTGCATATTGCAGGTCTGTGCTCTTGATCCTGATTTTGTCAATTATCCACAATCTATAGGCTCAACACATCAAGTCCTGAGGCAATCATATCGGAAATCCTACACATTTCAAACTAATGTTGGATGTAAGTACAATAATTCAAGAAATGAATTACTCCACAATATAATAAAAAGATGAAAAAAAAAAAAGAGGAAGAAAATAGGGATAAAAGGGGAAAGAAGGGGAAAATGAGGAGATTTGCAAAAGAGAAGGAAAAACAATTATTGAGGAGGAAGAAAAGAAAACTCTAGGTAGCAAATAAAATTGTATTAATGGACTCGGACTTGTGCATAGCAGCATTTCCTTCAAAAACATCAGACACCCATCTTTTACCAAATATGAAAATCTTAATAAGTAACTAAATAGAAAATCTAAAACATGTAAAATCTCTAATGAAAAAACTACCACGGTCAGTTAGTTTTAAAAAAAATATTCCCTGATTGACAGAATCCAATTAAATTAGTCCTGGGTTTCCAAAATGATGCTTTTTTACTCACAAAAACAAAGAGGGTTCATTAACTATGACTGAACTCATGACCGATAACCACCAACTTCCAACATTAATACATTTTTCAGAGCACATTATTGTAATTATCTACAAATCACTCACTCCTGCAGCTTCTATAGTTCAGCTGGCACAATCCTAGAACTTACCAAATAGCATACATCTGCCATATACTCTCGTAGTCTCAATTAATAATTATGGCTCATTTAAAGAATTTCCCATTTGACATATACTAATTACACATTATCTAAAAAAATATAGAATACAATATTTCTTGCTTGTAACTTAATGACTGACTCATACTGACGATAACTCACCAAACTTCCAACATTAATGTGCACATTTTTGTCCATGAAAACATTGTATTGTTTGAGTGAGATATAAAAATTCTACAAATTCACTGGACTCACATATCGTGAACAGGCATGTGATATATTAAGGCTATTATACAAGTCAGAGCTTCTTCTGGTGGACACTAATCCTAGAACTTACCAAATAGGCTCCACTAATTTGCAAATCTGTCTTGCCATATATCATGCTCTGAGTTATAGTAACCTCGAGATATAAATAATTGGAGTGAGCTCAATAGCTAAGAATAAAAGAGAAACTTATTTGTCTCCATTTATGATAAGTTCTAATGAGTACTTAGTTGCAACGAGTTAAATAAAAAAGAATATTATGAGTAGCATTTTTAGGGGGGAATACAATTTATTGCTATAATATAAACTCATTGAGAAAAAGGAAAAATGAGATTGTTTTGGTAATATTTGGACTATTAATGCAATCCTAGACTAAAAATATAATATATTATTGGTATGAATAGGAATGAAATAGATAAAAAATTAAAAATACAATAATTTTAAATTAATATTGGCTAAAAACTTTTTTTACATTTGCTGATCTGTAGCTTCTATACTGAGCAATTGAATATTTATGTTATTTGTTTTTATGCCGAGTATGAGCAGAAACTGTGTGTGATAAGCGATTCCACAGACAAGAAAGGTCAAATAATTTCGTTCGATTAGCAACAACTTTGATCTACGAGATAGACAAACTTGATATATATATATATTCTTTTCCAGTTTTACATAAAATAATAACAAAAGAACACCATAACAAAATATTATGATCTCTGATTATGAGGAATGTTTAAATTCGCATAATTTGTTTTTTTTATATAAATACAAAAAAATATCTAAGGATATAGATAAAGTGCCAAATATGGTATCGAAGTAATTTAACTTTATCTTTAATTTTAGTTAAACATTATATATGATTATAGTAAATTAAAATTCAAATCTATTCCTTAATATACTCTCAATATCTACTATATATAATTAATATGTTCTTGTTTAAAATACACGTATCAATAATTACATAGGAATTAAGTAAAGAATTTATAAATACAGGACCAATATCATGTCAGAACAAATTCAACACGATAATGCAGAAAACACTCTATAAAAAAAATGTAAGTGGGGTTACGTGCGCCTTATACAGCCTCCGCATATGCGCTAAGAGAGCTATCGGCTACAAATCTAGAGCACAAAATAGGCTATGGTTCCTTACGAGTCACAGAACTATTGGCACCTTTTTGTGGAAAAATGATTCAACATATCTACAATTTTAAAAGGTCGACAAGACAACAACCTATGACCACGATAATTTTGTTCCAGTTGAAATCGTTTGCCGATGCGCACAGGTGTTTCCTTGTCAACCACTAGGCCTCATGGCTACTCACTGGGCTATTTGAACGAAACTCTAATAAAGAAGATCACTAGATCACACTCATATATTGAAGAGGTGCATTCAATAGCTAAAAGCAATCTACTCTCTATTTACTTATCAGAAATCTCTTAATGGAGCAAATAAATACTTTCAATCTGTATCACCTGAATCTAACACGAAAAGTCCAGGAACATTAGTCTAGTCTATAGCTAAACATTACAGGTTATGCCATATTATCCAACTCAGATAATGGTTAAGTTTGTCGAGAGAGCGCGTTACAAGGTAGTTCAGTTAGCAGAACATAGGAGATTGAAGGGAAAGAGCACTTAATCAAAGATGGCAGAATTAAGAAAGAAAGCCATCCCCTAAAGCCCAACCGTCAGAAATCTCGAGATAGATAAAGGTGACCAGTGAGAAATCTGATCAAATGGGATATTTTTAATTTCCTGAACCAGGTAAAACCTTGGCCTCCAAGAAATTGCCAGTCCTCATTACAAATCCTCACAAGAAAGAATAGTTCCTATCATTTTCTAGACTGAGGCAATAGCATATCTTCAAACTAATCTTTCGATCAGGCATTGATATCTTACCCAGCATGTGCTTATTCAGAGAATAAATACTAACGGAGTGAAAAGGCCTGTCCGAAAAATGAAGCGACAAAAGAAAAGCTAGGATATTCAACAATTTGAGCTAGCTTTTTAAGTTATTTTGAAACCAGATGGAGAAAGAAAAATTCTATCTCTTATTAATAATTGTACTTCGACTAATTTGCGATGCAAACATACTGTATTTATAAATAGCTTTTAGAAGTTGAGGGGAGGCGTTTTTCTGTTTATCAAACAATTAAAACATCATTAACTCTAACATGGTATTTTAATCTGGTGTTCCATAGAATATATATATATATAACTAAACAATATCAAATAATTGGCAAATCACATCACATTATATTTAGCAACTGTTTAAACATCACAAAGAAAAGTCAAAATTTCGTTAGAAATTCTAAAAACAAGAATTTTTTCTACATAAATAATCAAAAGAACAACAAAATACTAATAAATGTTATCCATTTCTTTTTTAAATACAAAAAACACCAAAAGATGCAATGTATAAGTAATTAACTCAAGTAATTTAAAATTAAATCAATCTATCAAACCTCAAATCATTTATAGTTCTTAAACACTATCAATAATCAAGATTAAGTAAGAATTATAAATACAGGACCATCATTTCAACAAATTAGTAGAACATTAAAAAAAAAAATGTACAGGTGCGCCTAAGCCCAAGGCTGCTCTTCAGAGCCCGGCAGGCCTAGGCACACCTGGCCGGATTCAGCTACATTAAGGCACACTGCACCCAGGTGTGCCTCTGGCCCAGGCACGCTTTTAAGAACTCTATCCCCAGCCACTCATATATTATGCTATGTAGCACTATCTCAATGTATCAAGGCATATAATTCTAATGATATGAAGTAAAGAAAAGAAGAACATGTAGTTAGCCAAGTACAAGCATATAAATGTGGTTAAGTTTCAAGACCTAAGTAGCAGACATGGATTAAGAAGAGACCTACATCAAGATGGCAGAATAATGCAAAGAAGCCATCCCAAGCCCAAGGTCTCAGATAAAGGACATGGACTGACAATGATATTTTATTTCCTGAACCAGAAAATGTCAGACCTACAAATCCTCAAACAAGAAAAGATATCCATATTTCTACTCTACAATATACTTCAACCTTGAGGCATACCCCAGCATTCAAGTCTGCTAACATGAAAGCCTGTCTAGCAACAACTTTTGAGCTAGCTTTTAGTATTTTGACCAAGTGAAAAATCTATCTCTATTAATTGTACCATTCGGCAACATAGTATTTATAATAGCTTTTAGAAGTTGAGGGAGCTTTTTATCAAACATTAAACACTCTAAAGTTATCGTTTCATAGAAATTAATTAAATTTTTTAACAACCATACCTATTGTTTCCTTTCCCCAAATTCAGCTAATTAAACAACTAATGTTATTTTTTGTCATTTTTTGTTAAACATCTGATTAAACATTTATTTTTACCTAATACTTCTAATTTAAATCACTATATAAACTGCTACCCACTAAAAGCTAATAGCTAATAACACAGAGCTAGTATTGTCAAAGAGACCCGAAATGCAATGGGACAATTAACAAGAATATATTGTAAAGTGGAAAACGGCAAACGCGAATGCCAACGAGCTCTGAGTTTCAAATCTCTGAATATATAAGAGGTCATAAAATTATGCTGCATAAACAGAACCAATATGGTTCTTTGTCCCTTCAACAATAACATTTAGAAGATTTATAATGTCAATAGTTCTCAAATTCCCATTCCTTCTTATCTCAAGAAGAACATTGAAGGTTCTGTAGACATTTAAGTGAAAATCATACTTCCAGAACCTACAAATTCAAAAAGTTCATAAACTCAAACTGAAACAGAGCGTATATAACAGGTTCAATTCCGCAATGCAACATTTGCAGCAAATGATTTATTATATTGACTAAATTAAATAGTCCGGAAGCGAACAAAACTAACCTGCTGGGTAACAGGATCAATTGTAAACACTTTGGTAGGACTACTTTCAACCCAACTCTGTTTCTCCTCGAGGGTCAAAGTTTCCATCAAATCCTCATTGATATGAATATCTGGTTCATACATAAAAGTGACAGTTGCCGCAGGGGACCATTTAGCATGATCCTTGCCAATCCCTTTTCTAGCAATGGCCCTTAGTCTCAGTTCTTGCCCACGGCGAAGCTTCACAATAATGATTCCCCTACGCAAAAATAACCCCAAAACAAAATAATTCCTAATATTAACCCAAAATATAAAAGCACAAATAAAACTATAAACCAAACAATTCCTAGATTACCTCTGCTCGTTGGATTCATATCCGGAATCGGAGAAATCTACTGGAATCACCGTGTGATCAGAGCTATACAAGTCCTTGCTGGTGACGTCTAGGGTTTGGTCTGTGATACATTTAGCCCGAAGGTGAAACTCGACTGAACAATATTCGCACTGGCCGTCTCCATCACAGGCGTCGCAGTCACGAGAGAAGCGCATGCTCATAGCACGTTCACTGGTGAGAGGAATGAGGCCGAGACGGTGAGCAATGAACTCGTCGTTGAGGACGGAGGAGTTGACTTCAATTTCCACGAGGTCGATTGCAATAGTGGGCACTTCGGCAATCATCACGCGCCGAAGCGCGTTAGCCATGGAGGAGTCTGTGTCGTAGAGCACGAATTTGCAATAGTCATCTTTGAGCTCTCGGATCTTAACCTTCGGGAAGCGCTGATATGACGCTCCGTCCATTTCTCTCTCTCTCCTCTCTCTCTCTCTCTCTCTCTCGTCTTTCTGCGTGAGAGTGAAAGGAATATCAGTCGCTTACCTTCTAAACCCCAGTGCTTGGGTTTTGATACTCAGAAGTTTGCACCTTCCATGTCGTCGTTTAATGGCAGAGTTTACCTTGTTTGGAAAAATTACTATTTCATTCCTAAAATATGACCAAATTATTTATACAGTGTCCGATATTTGGTAGAAGATCCCGGCATCTTTGAAATTTGGTTCGGACCACGGATGTGGGTACCCAACTCACAAAAAGCGAGTTTTTGTGGGTACCCAACTCACAAAAGCCTGTTTAAAGTAGATTTGGATGTTGATCAAACAAGTTTGAGACGGATATCAAATCAACTATCCAATACAGGTTTAAATTGGATATAGGTTTAAAGATGTGGGTAACTTCTATAGCTCTATCCATCAAACTCATTATATAATTTAAAAGATTTAATATAATAGAAGCTCCAAACCCTAATATCATCAAATACTAAAAAATTAATTACTTAAATAAAATATTGAACTACTAGAATTTTAGAATTGTCCTTTATTCGTACTTTCCATTTTCTAGTTTCCACATATATTTTCATCTCCATCTTCCAAGGCTCAATCAACATTAACTATAATGGATTTGGTGAGATATTAGACATATAAACAAAGTTGATTTTCATAGATACTAGTCACCCTAATTCATTTAAAGTGAATTTGGCCATTTGGGTATCAGTTAAATGGATGTAGAATGGGCGCAGGTATTAAAAGTTTAAACGAATGGGTATGAGTATTACAAAAGAAATTTTAAATGAATTTGAAATGAGTATGAGTATCGAAATATTTAAATGGATTCCAGTATAGATAATGTAAATTTTGTGTTCACTTCTGTCCTTAGTTATATTATTTCAAATAGTCATTTCATTCAATTTTAGAGGTTTTGACGATAAAAATAATTATGCAAAATAATTCCTCATAATTATATAACACTATTAAAAGAAATTTTTTACTTAAACAAAACTATTTTCAATCCATTTAAAAGGTGAACTTTCAATTTCTCCATATAAAATAAGAACATCATTCTATTTAAACCATCAACTTTCAGCTTTTTCATACAAAACAAGAAAATTATCAACTTAAATTATCTCAATACCCTTTAATTTTGCTTGTGTCATAACATAAGGGAAAAGAGCTCCCAGCAAAATTTTTCTCAATTCACAAATATCACACACTCAACCTCTCACTTAGGAGACTTGAGTAATTTTCACTTAGACTATTCAATTCGTACATTTTATTAATTTTCTAATGCTGTATATTTTTTTAAAAGAATATTAAATAAAAATAAGGCTAAAAAAGTAAAAACAAATTGAACTCTTTTTTAGATTGAGCAATTCATTTAAAAAACCATAACATTTGCGTTTAGTATTAATTGCACCCCATTTTGACTCTAATCACGGGAACATCCCAAATTGAAAGGTCAATAATAATTGAGCCCAATTTAAAATCAGGGTCTAAAAAATAATAAACAATTTGTTTGTGGGACCCAGAGACTAACACAAGAGTTTGTTGGGAAAATCGCTATTTTCCGCCCTTCGGATCGGCTTCAAGCAGGAACAAATGAGAAAACAAAATAATGACTGAAAAATTAAAGAGAACACGATAATTTAACGTGGAAAACTCCCCAAGTTTATATATCTTTAATTTGCTAGATGTCTGCTGTATTGGGTATGAATTTTATTTAAGATTATTATATATATTAAGTATTAAAAGCGCAGGCTAAATAAAGAGTATAATAACAATATTTGTACACCTAACATTCTATTTGTTTTAGATTTGAAGTGAGGCCAATATTTTCATTTAATTATACCATAAGTGCGCTTGACCATTGATAATATATTATTAAATTATTTGGCAAGTTCTACATATTTTTCAGGGCCTGTCCCCCGACCATTTGTTTAATGGTTGACTCTAAATCACGGGAACATTCCCCATTGGAAAGTCAATCAATAATTTATGTTGAGTTTTTGCCTCTCGGAATTATTAAGATAATTATAGGTTTCGGGTCTAAAAAAATAATAAACAATTTGGCTCGAGAGGACGTGCAGGAAGATAATGATTTTACTTCATCAGTTTTGGTTTTTAACTCTTGATGCTGGCTCCTCTAAGCCAGATATTTACTTATGCCTACAAATGCTATATTATTGTTTCTCTTTTGTGGTAACTTTAAATCGCTATTTTTCCGCCCTCCGGCGCAAAAGAAAACAAAAAGAGGGGAAAACATGCCAATTTCGCGCTACACTTCAAGCATGTGGAGACCATTAAATTTGTATGTAAAATATATTTAATATAACTATATAGGTATCTTTTGAGACTAATATTTAAAGAGAAACAGCCAGAATAATTTACGTCCGTGGAAAGATGTAATAACTCCCAGGAAATAATGGTAGAAACAAATAACATTTCGCTACACCGGAGTCCGTTTCATACTGATTCTCTTAACACAATGTAGCTCCTGATCAATAAAGGCTCTTTTCGAATTGGGGAACACAGATAAAATTTTCACTATGGCGTTGCTATTAATACTGTTACCAAGACAAAATATTCACACAGATAGTTTTCTAGCTGCGTTTCCCACGAAATATGGACGCAAGGAAGATTGGCATGATTCTTTCATTATCGTTTTTTTTTTTTTTTTTTTTTTTTTGACATTTTAGAAAGTTACTTGTTTTGAAGTTGAAATTTTCTGTCTTTTCGAATTACAACTGACATCATTCATGAATGTGCCATGCTTCCCACTTAAAGCAGTATTCCTTCATGTTATAGACTATGATTTCCTCTGCCGCCCGCTCTTTCATTATCGTCATCTTTACACTACCATTAAATATTATTACCCTGACTGCCACACAAATACATTGGAGCCTCTGTCACCTGATGCACTCTGAAGCCCTAGATGAAGTTGGAATTCATATTGTTTACCATGCTTCTGCTGAAAATGTTCAACTTGAAAGTGATATTCTTTTGGGTGCTTTGGGAGAATTTAATTAGTTTAGCCAGTAATTCCAAATTCTATTATGAGGGTATTTTTGCAATTAAATATTTGAGTTCTCTATTTCAGGGCTGTCCTGACCTTGTTAGGCAAATTTGTTTTTTTGGTAAGGTAATTGTTTACGCAAGTGCAGGAAAGAATATATGATTTTACTTCATCAGTTTTGTTTTTACTCTTGATGCTGGCTTCCTTCCATATTACTTTGCTAGCAATATGCTTTTTTACTCCCAAAAGGAAAACAATAGAGGAAACATTCAATTCCTACATTGGCTTATTTTTTATTTCTAAGTTTTGCTTCCGTGGGATGTAATAAATGACATCTTTTGTACCATGTTCATACTATCTCTTAACAATGATGATCATGGTTTTCTGCAGGTAATTTTTACCGAATACAGAGTGCTTTCAAATATGGAGCAAGGAAGCTTGGCATGATTCTTTCATTATCGAATGAGAAAATGATCAATGAGCTCAACAAGTTCTTTGCAAGTACTTTGGATAGGCATGGAAGCAATGATTGGACTCATGTGCAAAATTCCTGCTTAGTATCTAGTGCTACAAATTCTGATAATTTATCATCATCATCACTCTCTGATACAAGCTCTGAGGATAAATTACTTTTGAGATCTACTGTTGGCTGCAGTAATGATCAACCTAGTGGGAGATCTCATAATGCTTCTCAGTTGAATTTTTCACGCCCATGTGGAGAAAATACAAAATTTGAAAGTGAAATCTCCGATGAGAAAGCACAGCCAAATTTTGTCACTAATGGTGAAATTAGCTGCATTTTAAGGTCAGAATCAAAAGAGAATCATTTTGTGATTAACAATTCAGCTTGTTCATGTATGAAGCATGATGTTGAATCTCCTTCTAGCTCACTACTTCCTACTCTTGCCCATAACAACTCTGAGAACCTAACCTCTACTCTTGGGGAAATAGCCTTTGTTAGCATTTCTGAGAACTCTCAATCTTTCAAATCATTGTTAAACCTTAGTGGAGATTATAAGAGCCACTTAAGGGGCGTATTATTTGGTCTGTACTGTCATTCTTATGATGTCTGTGCTCCAATACTACTATCTCCTCCTATGCTACCTCAATCTGAAAATAAAAAACTATGGAGAACTGTCTCCCAGTCCTTACAGTTGAAGGAGAATGCTTATTCTACAAAGAGAAAAGGTGTTCTGGGACAACAACGGTTCCCTTTGAAACCTTCAACATCATGTAGCTCTGCTTTCAATTTTGAAGAAAAGCAACAACATCGAGGAACTGGAACTTATATTCCCAACATGGTATTTTAATTTACAATTGTGTTTATGAGTGTTTCCTTTTCAGTTGAAGTTTGAAATTTTGTCATGCACTTTCTTTGCCCCTAGTTCTCATGGTTTTCTAAAATTTTTGTAGGGTTATCATTCAAATAGAACAGAGAAGAACCGGACCACACGAATAAATGGTAAGTTTTGTGGACACACTGATGATAATGGTCTGGCTGCAACTTCACAAGAGACAGAGTCTTCTAAATATGGTCATGTGCTATCAGAGGCAGAGTACCCATATCTGGGGAATGGAAAGCCTATGCCAATAGAAGTTCGGCTATCTCAGCCATCTGTTTGGGGTTCTTCCAATGCCAGTGGCTTTTCTCAACCATCAAAGGAAAGTGATTCTGATTGTCAGGGCATTCACCAACAAGAAGGGTCGTTGCTAGAAAATAACTCTCCACAGTATTCGGACACTTCGTGCACTTGTGATTCTACTTCAAGTCTTGTGGTATTAGTAGCAGATGCGACTGAATCAGTTTTAGAGAACGACCAGGAAAGGTAATGCATTGTCCTAGCACATATAAATTTCATATTTAAATAGAGCGAATGAATTTCCACTTTTAGCATTAAGAGCGATTATCTTAGAACAATATGTCCATGATCATTCTTATCATTTTGGATTGTAGGGTTGCACTGCAGTCATATCATTTGAAAGATGAAGTTGATTTTCCTCCTCTGTCCTACAGAAAAGCGCTCAAAACATGTTAGTATTATAGAATATGGTAAGCAGAACTTTTAGATACTAACAACTATGCAGGTTTAGAAGGACTTGCCTTTTGTTTTCTTCTCATTTTGCTCGGAGCTTGATGTGGTCCTGACATAGAGAAGCACATTTGTAAATTCCTCTGGTCCATCTTCCTCCTTTACAGTAGGATATGAGTGCAAGTTTGACAGCAATCCTAAGCCTCTGGGGACTTTTTAATTGAGACAATTTAATTTCTTTTTTTGAACACCATTGTCCCTGTGGGGACATAGCTTTATTTCTTAAATTGAATAGTAGAAATTCCAGATAAATTTAGTTTTTATTCCTAAAAAAAGGAAAAAAATGGGGAAAATTTTAAAAGTTTAAAATTATACCATAGTCCTTAATGTTTACATCTTATTGCCTTTGCCGCACAAACAATAATTAAATTATGAATTAACACAGAAAGTACGTAAAATAGATAGCAATTTAAATTTCATTCAAGTGTTTGGTTGACATAATAATGGAAAAAATAATAATAATATTGAAGTAGAAAGAGAAAAGAATACAAAGGCACATACATCTAATAGGGATTCAGAGGGAGGGTAAGAATTCCTGTGACAGAACTTATTACTTATTCCACAGCATAATGGCTATTGATAGACACAAAAGGGTTATGCTCACATCATGCAGGATTGCATTTGTAATTATGTTTGGGAGCAATCTATAATTATGTAAATAAACCAAGTGTATAAAATCTTTAATCTGCTAATTGATTTATTATGTATTCGATCTCAATATAAAAATTAGCATTAAGGCTGAAAAGTTTATCTAAATTTGCAAGTTGTCATCGAAAAAAATAAATTATATAATCAAAAGCTATAGCATTATGCTTCAATTGCAGATTATGGAAAATATTTTACAAATTTTCCGGAAAAAGAAAATCATAGGAGGAAGAGAAAGCTTTTTATAACTACAATTACACACACAAAAAAAAAAAAAAAAAAATCATAAAGCTAGAATGCATGAATTTTTTTATCAACCTTCTTCCAAAATCATTTTAAAAAAATATTCGTATATTAATATTTTAAAAATAACAAATTAAAGAAAAAATTTCTATAAATCCAAGAAAAACTATCCTGATTTAGAAACACGGTCACAAAAGGATTCAAAAGATGATAAATAGATGAAAAATTAGAAAAAAAATTTAAGAAAATAGAAATAAGATCAACACAAATTGATGAAAACAACAAACTGTACTGGAATTTTACCAATCTTGCTTGTCTTCTCTATTTTATCAATCAACTGCGACTTGTACACAAATGGCCTTGCGTGCGTCCTTCCTCGTCTCGATTTGGCACCGCATGAGTCCCTGACCATCTGGATTCAGCAAGAATAGCTAGAGAAAAAATAAAAAGAACAAGAGGGAGACAGAGAGCGAGAAAGAGAGAAAGAATCATGAAAAAGATAAAAGAGAGAGATGAGAGAAGAAGACGAATAAAAGGGAACAGAAACGCTGTCGTTTGATGAGCATGCATACGTAATCTTTTAATTGTTCTAGGATTGTTATGTAACGTGTGTAACAGTATGATTTTTACAATTACAGGCCCATATTGGCCACTCCCAAATTTTGGTGTGGCGTACGATTTTTGTTTTTTAACAGTTCAGTGCATATATCTGTATTTGGCCGTAAATTCATAGAATGTTTATCTTCCTATTTGCTTAGAATCAAGTGATGATCAATCGAATCATCGATGACCATGTGAGCAGAGAAAGAAGAACTGTAGAAGAGTGAGGGCGGAGGTAAAAAAAAAAAATACTCATTCCGTCTCGTTTTGCTTGCATGATTTTATAAAATACATTTAATAATAATTTATTCAATAAAAATTATTTTACCCTTCTTTTATTTTTAAAAATTCATTAAGATACTGAAAGCCCTTCGTTCAATAAACAACTATAAAGATTATTATGTGAAAAATAATTATTTACATGGGCACCGCATGAGTTCCCATTTCTTTGACCATGCCTCTGGATTCATTCAAGAATTACTTGTCTTATTGAGCAAAAACTATATAAAAAGAACAAGAGGGAGACAGAGATGCGAGAAAGTAGTAGACAAGAAATCATCGCAAATACGATCAATAAGAGGAAGAGCAATGAGAAGAAGAAAAAGACGAAATAAAAGCCGCAGCAAGCGAACGAGTAAACGCCTTGCCTGTCGTTTGATGAGGCATCACTGTGGACGATACGATAAATTCTTCTTTTAATTGTCCTCCTAGGATTAGTTATGTAACGTGTGAACAAGTAACTGATTTTTACGCAATTACAGGCCCATATTGAGGCCACTTCAAAGGAATTTGGCTACATTGTGGCGTACGATTTTTGTTTTATTAGCTCTAAAAAGAACAAAATAATTCGAGCTTTTCCAGAGTGCAAAATATTATCATGTATTTGGCCCGCAAACAAATTCATAAGAATGTTTATCTTTCCGATTTGCTTTAGAATCATGTGATGATAAGATCGACAACATCGATATAGACTCAGTGTGGAGCATGAAGAAAGAAGGAACTGGTAGAAGAGTGAAGAGGGGGAGGGGGAGGTAAAAAATAAAAAAATACTCATCAATTCCGTCTCGTTTATTGCTATGCATGAGTTTTACAAAAAATGGGCGAATTGGATCATCCACAATTTAATTAAATAATATTATTTCAATAAAATTAAATTTATCCCTTCTTTTAATTTTTTTTAAAAATTCATTAGATTTTTAAAAATTCATTAAGATACTGAAAGCTCTTCGTTCAATAAACAACTATAAAGATTATTATGTGAAAAATAATTATTTACATGTCTAAATTTGAAAATCTTGCAAATATTTTGGGACATTAAAAAAAATGAATAATAAGCAAACAAAATGGGACGGAACGAGTAAAAAATAAATAAAAAATAAAAATCCCTCGTTTTATTAATGGAAGTGAAACGTTTTTTTTTTTTAAATACAAGTGAATTGTTTTTTATCAAGAAATATTAAGCATTTAAAGTTCTTCATTTCTTATTGCTAAACTAAATGGACTCAAAGGGTTTAGAAAATTTTTAAAGGAATGACAAATTATTGTGATAAAAAAAAAGATTAATATAATTAAAATTTGATATAATTAAAAAATTTTGAAAATTGATGTTCCAAATAACTGGGAGAGTCACACCCACCTCGCAAATCATTTATGCCATTATATAATCAGGGTTATATGTGATTATATAAACAACACATTGAGCCCGCTAATTTATGGTTATTTTATCTCTAAAAATTCCCATTTTTTTCAACTTTTAATCACAGCATTTACTGCTTAGCAAAACGGATGAACTTGATCCTTTCGTTTCGAAATGATTAACAAAAGGGCACATGTAATTTAACAGAATAAATGTCATAAGCTTTTATATTAAAATAATTTGGGGAATTTGAACCATACGAGCAGCAGTGGTCTAGTGGTAGAATAGTCACTGCCACGGGTAACAGGACCCGGGTTTCGATTTCCCGGCTGTTGACTTTTTGGGCTATTGAGAAGTTAGTAGTGCTCTTTGTGCGGTAGAGGGGGTCTATGCAAAAGTCGTCAGATCTGCTTCACAAGCCTTGGTAGGAATTTATTAGCATTCTTGGAGTCTTTATTTTTTTTCTTTTCTTCGCGGCAGGCCTCACTTTTTTAGTATTTATATTATTTATATAAATACATTCGTAAAACCTGGGATTTTATTTTCTTTTAATCAGCTTATTTTTTTCTTATATATACCATTTCTTATAAATCCACCTATTAGTATTTTAAAAAAATAAACAATATCTTTGGAAAAGAATATTACTTTTTCTCTCAACAATTTTACTAATAAACCAAGTTAAATTATGGATAGCTTATCTTCCGACACAGCGCATATTTGGTTACTATGAACAGAACACCAAACTAATTTTTTTTTAAATATTAAACTGAACTACATCTTATCTTTCTAGTTTAAATGATTAACAATTTAACATATTAAAATCTCTTGGTTCTCCTTCTCTTGGAAATCTCTTAAGACTCCGCTGGCTTGTCTAATTTATTCCCCTTGGCATCAAAAATCCACATTAAAAACTGATTATAATGTCCAGCATGATTCTGAAGGACTAAAATCCCATTAAATCAACATATTATTAAAGAACATTGTATGTAAAATAAAACTAAAAGCTCAAATTTTATTCACAACATCTAACCGTTAAAAATAGCGAAATACTGCATTTTCTTCTTTCCTTGTGTTTTGATAAAAAAGAAGTAGAAAGAGTGGAAATGGATGGTTTTTTTCTTTCCCCCCCACTTTTTTAGTATTTAAAAGTAAAAATACATCGGAAAAGGAATTTTATTTTCTTTTAACAGTTTTTCTTATAATACCATTTAGTATTTAAAAATAAACATATATTGGAAAAGGAATTTATTTTCTCTCAACAAATTTTTATAATAAAACCAAGTTAAATTATGGATAGCTTATCTCCAAAGCGCATTTTGTTACTAACAGAACAACCAACTAATTTTTTAAATATTAAACTGACTATATTATCTTTCTAGTTAAATATTACATTTAACATATAAAATCTCTGCCTTTTGAACTCAAGACTTTCTATTTCTCTCTCAAATCAATAAAACTGATTAATCCATGATAAAACCAATTAATCACATTAAGAAATTGTAAATAATTAAAAGCTCAAAATTTTCACAGATCTACCGTTAAAAGCGAATCCTGCATTTTCTTCCTTGTGTTTGATAAAGAAGTAGAAAGAGGTGAAATGGATGGTTAGAAAATTTATATTGAAGAATTTTCCCTCAGGGTATCCATAATTGAGGGAATATCTTGCAATGAAGCCAAAAAATGTTATCCATGAATTTTATCCCATTTTTGTTGAATTTTTTATATTTTAATACTTTTTAGATCATTTACACAATATTTACAGAAAAAAAAAAAAAAGACAATGGGTAATTTATTTATATGCCTTTTGCTGATTTTTATTTCTCGTCAAGAACTAGAGGTGGCTTTGACTTTTTGTGACCAGAAATAAGACTCAATTCATAGTATACATCGTGGAATTTATTTTGGTTGGTGAACTATTCTGCAGTAGAAGAAAGGAAAGCAGAGTTACTGAATGCTGCAAAAAAATTGACGGAAAGATGTGTCTCATTTTTTAGAATATGGGCCTTCAATCTACGGCAATGAATAATTTTTTATACTTCTTATCTTAATGATAAATTTCTAAATTAGAAAGAGTAATATAATCAATTTAATATTAAAAAAATTCAATGCTTTGGTATTAACAAAATGCGATCGCGATATGAAAATAATGCTACCCAAAATTATTTAGTATTTTTAAAAAGACAAAATAGAGATAAGACACTTAACCTTTTATTTAGTTAGCATAAAACAATTTATCCAAGCACTTTCATTATTATCTTGGCTTAATAAGCAAAAATACGGTAAACTTTGTGACTTGTTATAATCATATCATTTCTTAACTTTTTTTAATAAGTATCCCCTCAAACAAAAATTTAATATGTATACTGTAAAATGAAAATTCGAGACTAACATGTTATGATTGAAAGTAAAAAGTAATTATAATAACATGCAAAGTCCAGAATATTTTTATATTCTAATGATTAATTTACAATATTTCTTTTTTGGAATAGAATGAATATTAATAAAATAAAAGCTAGTAAATAAATTAATTAATGCTCTTTTTTTTTAAAATATAACATTTATTTATTAATTAAGTTCAATCAAATAGATCTCCAAGAATAGAATTATTTTAGTATTAAAAATTAAAATTCTTAAAATATGCTTTTCTGCAGTTTTTGTTTGTTTGAAAGATTTACATTGATTTATATAATAAATTAATTCGCGTAAATATTCAAAAAAATTTAGAGATATGATATATACTATATAAATTAAAATATTTAAACAAGATGCAAAATGAAGGCTATTTAAAAAAAGAAATTAAATTCTTATTAAGTAGAGCATTGATATTCTTTATATAATTAATTTTTTCCAAAATCAAAGGAAATAATTAAACATAACCAAATTTAGTCTAAATATAATTAGATCCTTGCTTACGACTTAATTGTTAACTTGAGACATTGAACATCAAGCACCAGTGGTCTAGTGGTAGAATAGTACCCTGCCACAGTACAAACCCGGGTTCGATTCCGGGCTGGTGCATTTGGGCTATGATGAAGTCTGTGCTCTTTGTGATAGATGGGGTCTATCGCAGTCGTCAGATCTTCAACAGCTGAATTCGAAGCACATCTGAGCTCCTTTTGTTTTCTTTTTTTTCAGACAAATTCACAATTTAAATTATTGTTTATCTCATAGAAATAATTGTTAATAATATCCACCTTAATCTTTTTTTAATTGATATTAATTTTGATTTTTAAAATTTTGAAATAGCTTAACTTCAGGTTTATAGTCCCAAAAGTACAATAAAATTTGTGTATTATGACAATTGCACCCTATTTTTTTTTTTTTTTAAATTTCAATCTTAAGGTGTAATCAATTTATACATTTCATTTTAAGATATACTTATCAAAAAGTTAAAAATAGAATGCAAGCAACAAATCACAAAATTCAGAATATTTTTATTTATTAGGCCGACATTTTTTTATTTTTAAATATTTAATTTAATTAATTATAATTAAAAAATTAGAATCATTCGAAAATTTTTCGGATTAGATTGTTTTTGAATTATTATGAAGTGCTGCATGCATAATTTAGTTGATACTGAAAAAAAAATTTTATAACACGCTAAATTTATAAAATTACATCGATTAAACATTTCAATTTATAAAAAATTTTCTATTGAACATTTTAATTTGCAAAATTTGATCTATTAAATATTTATTAAATAGTTGAAGAATACAAAATTATTTGTTTCAAAAGTTATAGAAATCACACATTTAACAATTTTATGCACATAAAAATTAAAAATACTAAAAAATTATTATTTCTAATGTTAAAATGTATGAAATATTACCATAATTTATAATTTTAAACACACAATAAATGTCTCACAAAATTTGAGATGCGGTAAGATTTTTTCTTTTAAGTACACAAATATATTTATGCATTTAGCATTATGAAGGTTATATTTAATGAAGTTATTAATTATTAGAGTCATAATCTCATCACCTTCAATAATTATAGTTAAAAAAAATGTACATTTTTTCAAGAAAGAAAATGAATTAATAAATGACACGTGTACTTGAAGTAAAATCCAAATGGAAAATAACTTACTTTGAATATTCTAATGAAAAGAGATTATGCTTAAATCAGGAACATGTAAATTATGATTAAAGTGTAAAAGAAACTTTTAAGGAAGAAGATAAGAATAAAATAAGTGGAAGGACCTTTTCAAATGTGCAAAGATTATTTGAAAACGAGAGGCTAGTTTTTGACATTTGGTCAACTCACTACTTGAGCTAATACAAGAAAATCACATAATGTGCGGACCAATACGGAGCCGTTAACTGCATCCGATCGAGACTTTTAACTGTTGATTAAAAATTATTAAACATATATTGTTAATTTGTTGTATAAAAACATTATAAAACTAGCAAGCTGTAACCAACTAACAAATGAGTCGTTGGCCATGCGACCCCACGAGTCTTTTTCCACACATGGGGTTCATGAATCTTGGCTTTGCAATGGATAGAGAGATATAGAAAAATTGCATAAACTATTGAGATTGGAAAATTTATCAAAAAAGGAGAAAGTTTTTTAAGAAAATAGATTTGAGTATGGAAAATTAATTTAGTTTCAATTCTTTTATAGTTGCTCCAGAAATACCATTTAGCCTTTAAACATAATTTTTTATTCGCTCTCGTATGATGTTAGTGGAATTTCTTATTTCGGAATTTTTTTTTTTTTGTTTTGAACTATAGTACTCTTTTTACACAAAAAAGAAAAAAAAGTGAAAAAACGACTTAATTTAATATTATATATTATGCCAAATTCATTTTTGATATAAATACATTTAATTTAATTTAATTTAATTTTTAATATTTTCCACTTTTTATTTGGGATAAATTGCATAATCTGCAATGAAGTCATTGGTATGAGAAAATTGGTTTAATTTATTTGATTCTAATACGTGGTGTGTGTATATATATATATATGGACATCGATGTTTGGCACATACAAACAATATTAATTTTGAAAAGTCAATATTAATCTTTGAAAGGTGACTTAAAAGTATGATATTCTTTATCTTAGTCTAGCAGAACAGCCCCTCTACCCCTAAATGACAAGATCATTAGCTGGCTTTTGAGGTTATCTCTGTTTTTTTTTTTTAAATATTTATTTCCTCCGTTTTATTTTGTTTTCATGGCTTTGCATGCACTAGTTGAATTTTTTTTTTTTATGTGTAATTTACTGACCTTTCTGTTTATAATTGATAAGACATTAAAAAGGTCAATCTTTATCGGTTGACTCTATATACATATAAATATATACACATCTACACTAACTAATTAATAGTTTTTAGGACCACATTCAACGATTAGCATTAAATATCTCTACTTTTGTAATACAAGAGATTAAAATTTCAAATATTATCATCGTTGTAGTCTAAAATTTCGATTTGATATCAAAATTTAATATTGTTTTTCTTTTTTTATTTTCTCATCAGAGTTTGGTTGGACAGATTGTATAATAGAGATATTCAAACTCGAGACCTTACACTCTTTATATTAATGAGAAGACCGATTAGACTATAGCCTATTGACTTTTATTTGAATATTGTTAGAGAGTAAATCTCACATTAAATAATAAAAATAAAATAAATAACTAAAGGCTCATAATTAAATGGATGATGAATCTCATATAAGCCAATTCTTTTTATGCAAATAAATTTTAATATTCTCTCACATATAATAATTATGTAGTAATATTATACTCTCTCTATTTCACTTTAATAGCAGTATTTGATATTTTTACAATGACTAATAAAATGATTAGAACATATTAATTTTCTAAAAATAGATGGTGCAATGTCTAAATTGCCTTTCATAAAATTAAAAACTTCTTATTTAATTTTACTATAAAACACCTAATAAATACGAATAAAAATGGAAAAAAAATAATTAATACATTCTCAAAATCTTAAATAAGCACTTAAAAGTGGAATAAGGTAAAATACTCATTTGTTGCCGTTAGAGTGGAATGATTCAGTTTGTTAATTTATATCTTTTATAATCTATATAATAATTTCTTGAAATATTAAAAAATAAAATAAAATAAAATTCAAGGTGAAGCTTGACAAACTACAGTGTTAAAGTGGGATTTTCCTTCTTCTCCAAAAACACTAAACACGTCAGTGGACACCCAGCATATATTTTCCCTTTATATGCTGCCAACTTCTACTATATTGGGTCCCAAACCATTTGCACTTGCATTTTGTTTCTTCTCTCTACTTATTTCTCTTACTTAATTTCCCATATCCTACCCACCATTTTTCTTTTTCCAGTTTTGTCTCTACCTACATATAACTTCTTCTTCTTCTTCTTCTTCTTCTTCTGTCAAAAAACTTTAATTAGCATTTCTTTAAGTACTCAAAGAAAAGTTTAAAAGAAAAAGATCTTAACAATTTTAATTTTCTTTCTTTCTTTTTGGGTATCTCTAAACTTCACAAATGCTGCAAGCAAAGCGTGGCCACAGATTCTTCAAGTTTAGATCAATTCTGTCACTTTCTCATGCATCTCTTTCTAGTTCTTGAAACCTTTAATTGATTTCCTATTCTGTCCTCGTTTCATAATAATATTTACTTCCCACCCTTAATACAACTCTATTCATCATTTGGAATCTTTCCCCACCACTTTCTTTCTTATTCTCTTGTCAAATCCAAGAGTCTCTCTTTCTCTCTTTTCTTTACCATTATCTTTTCTGGCTCAAAAATGGTTTTCAAGAAGTATGACTTCTCACGCGCAGTTGTAGAAATGGCATGGATCATTCTTAGAATTGATTATTCAAGGCTTTTCTGGCTTCTGTTTGGTGTTTTCTCTTATGAAAATCATGAAGGAAAGCCTCGGATTTAGGACTGTCTCCCTTCTATAATTCTATTCTCTTATTCATATATACGTATTTTAGTTAACCTTTTCAAAAGTGTACCTTATTTTATTATTCTGGCGTGCGTACCCATCATATAAAGTACTACAAAGTTTGGATTTTTCAAGATTTTACCAAAACATAGTCTATAAGGCAATACTAAGCTATTTTGCAACCTTTTTTCTCTTATAATATAATCAAGAAAACATGTACAGAAGAAATCAAGTAGAAACCAAGGAGGACGATCATGGATACGTCGAAACCGACTCGACCGGCCGGTACGGTAGGGTAAGTTGATAGTATAATTTTATATGATCATATCTGTATTTTATTTATGGCTATATACTTGTATATATTAATAGTTTAGAGCTTGAAAGAAAGGCTTTAACAAACAAAGTCTTAACACAATTGGTATTATTGTATATTTGAGTAATTTTCTTTTTTCTTTCGTTTTTATTTTCTATGGAACTTTTCCCAACTGGGTTTTAATTATTTTGACATAATTGCATAAAGAAAGGCCAACATCATACAGATGATATAGTTTAACTAGTTAGTTTGATTTTGACTTGAAGATTGTTGCATTATTGCAATAATCAAGATTACTTTTATTTATGTCTATACATCTTTTGTCTTATAGTTCATTTTCAATATCTAACTTGGGGTAGACTTTGTTATTTGGTTTTGTTAAATAGAGAATTTATTAAGTTAAATTTTGTATGTGACTAAGTATCATGACCTTGGATGATATATAATGTATTTTTATTTAATTGGGTGATGCCTTGTTTTAGTTTAGATAGTGAAATCAATGGGCTTTTCTTAGGTCATATACTTGAATTTCTTTGGATTTTAGGTTTGTTTATATCCTTGTAATTGAATGGTCATGAATAAAGATAGATAGCAAATTGTTTAATCACATTGTGTAAATTAACTGAAAAGCATTGTAACTAATTGCATATATTTTTAGTACTAACCGCATGTATCCTTAACCTATTAGGCTAGGACTAAATCTTAATCGGATCAGGTCAATCCATTAAAGGGTAAAACATGTATTTGCTCTATAGTAAATTGCACTTAGGTTCTTATACAATAGGAACATTTTAGAAAGCCTGATATGAATAAATGATTGTGTAATCAATTATTCAAAATTAGAATGCATAAAAGAGCTAGGAGAAAATATTAATACTTTACTAAATTAAAACCAATTAATGGAACCCTCATTGCAAAAGTTGAAGTATTAATTTCAATTATCGTCTGAACCGATAATTCGCATTGCTAATTTTTTTAATATAATTGGATGTTTTGACCAAATAAAATATTTAACATAATGGTTGTTTTCCATTCAAAAGTTTGATGAAGTGCTTGGCAAAGGAGCAATGAAAACAGTTTATAAGGCAATTGATGAAGTTCTAGGAATGGAGGTGGCTTGGAATCAAGTCAAGCTTAATGAGGTGCTTCGTTCGCCGGACGACTTGCAGAGATTATACTCAGAGGTTCACCTTCTCAGTACACTCAACCATGACTCCATCATCCAATTTCACACCTCATGGATAGATGTTCATCACAAAACCTTCAACTTCATCACTGAAATGTTTACTTCAGGAACTTTGAGAGGGTAATTTACTGTAAACTTTTCATGTTTTTTCAATTATATCCCAAACTTGGAAAACTTTAGTATCAATTGTTGCGCTGAGTTGAAATTTGAAATACAAGTGAAACTGTGCTTGTGCAATTAGTAATGTTAATCTGATGTTGCGCAGATATCGAAAGAAATACAAGCGAGTAAACATTCGAGCCATTAAGAACTGGGCAAGACAGATCTTACAAGGCCTTGTCTATTTACATGGTCATGACCCTCCAGTAATCCACAGAGACTTGAAATGTGACAATATCTTTGTCAATGGACATCTTGGACAGGTCAAGATTGGTGATCTAGGCCTTGCAGCAATCCTCCGAGGCTCCCAATCCGCGCATAGTGTTATAGGTACTCATTCATAATTCTGAAGCTGGTTGGAGATGTCATTTTGCTCCGAGTTTGGATATGTCAATTTCGGCCAATTGTATTGTTTCTAAACTTTTGGTAATTATATATTTTTATAGGCACCCCAGAGTTCATGGCACCAGAATTATATGAAGAGGATTACAATGAGCTTGTTGATGTTTACTCATTTGGCATGTGTGTTTTAGAGATGCTAACTTCTGAGTACCCTTACAGTGAATGTGTTAATCCAGCACAAATTTACAAGAAAGTGACATCGGTAAAGTCTATTCTTGTTGCCAAGACATAATTGTTAAAAATAACCAAATGAAATCAAATTAGAGAATGACCTGCATATCATTTCTGTTATGCAGGGGAAATTACCTGCAGCATTCTACCGGATTCAGGACTTGGAAGCGCAGCGATTTATTGGAAAATGCATAGTAACTGCTTCGAAAAGAGTATCAGCGAAAGAACTACTGCTTGATCCGTTTCTTGCTTCTGATAAAGCTGAACCATCACCTGTTTCAAGGATTGGAAATCCAAAGCCATTTTTAAATTGTACTGAAATGGAGAAGCTACAACTGAGTGAAGATGATTCAACAAGAACAAACATGACTATCACAGGAAAGCTTAATCCTGAAGATGATACCATCTTTCTTAAAGTACAAATTGCTGATAAAGATGGTATGGTTCTCTTATTCTTTATTTTGTGCAATGTTTTTGACATTTTTGTTCTGTTTTTTGCCAACTAATGTTCTCACCTTTAAGTAATAAGTATAATATTTATCATTTAAAGATCTAAATCCAGTAAATAGCAGTTTCAAGTTACTTTTTCCTACATTGAAAAGGTACTTCTCGAAAAAATAGTTTATAAACCTCAATTCATAACCAAATAGATCCTTACTCTTCAATGCTTCATAACTCTTGAAATGTATTTCCTTCCATTGTGCTTTCTTGCAGGCATTTTAAGGAATATATATTTTCCTTTCGATATTTTACATGATACTCCAATAGATGTTGCAATGGAGATGGTTAAGGAGCTGGACATAGATGATTGGGAACCGATTGAAATTGCTGAAATGATTGATGGAGAGATTTCATCTCTGGTGCCAAATTGGAAGAAATGGGACTTACCTCAAACTGGAGCCTATCACATATTCAACTACCAAGAAGACGATAGGACTAATAATCCTTTCCACCCTTCTTCCTCATGTTCATCATCTCAAGCATCCATATCTGGAATAAAGACAAATTGGCTTCAAGGTATGCCTATTATACTTTCACTGAGCTTGTTGTTCTGGTCTTATAACCACATATGTAGTCATCTTGAAATACCCATTTAGCCATTTTTCTTTTTATAAATGAAACTAAAATTATAATTCAAATTACAATGTATATATATTTGTAACAAATGGTGTTGCACAGATGACTTGTTTGATGATACAAGCTCTGAAAGCTCTTCACACTCAGGATCATATTCCAACTTGAATTACATTTCGGGCGATGATCACAAATTTGATACCACCAAAACAGGAAGAGATAAGCATTTAATCACAAGGTCTCACAATTCAACAAGATTCTGTCCTGAAGACAATTCAAAATCTTTTGTTGGTCAAGCAATTGCTAGAGATGCCTACAAACACTGCAAGAATTTGTTGGAGTCACAAAATGGAGGAGCTCTAACAAAAAGGGTAATTGAAAGCCGGAGATTAACAAGGAACCGGTCGTTAGTAGATGTTCGTAGCCAGTTATTACACCGGTCATTAGTCGAAGAAGTTAACAAGAGAAGATTGTTCAAGACGGTTGGAGCAGTTGAAAATGTAGGTTTTGTACCACCTCCTTTGGATAATAAAAAGGCGTCACAAAAGAAATCGAGCAGAAGAAAATAAAAAGTGATAACTTTTGTCTGAATTGGAGAACAAAGGAAAATTAAGGCTTCAACTATGAGCTAAACTAATGAGGAAGATTTGGAAATCATCCATGTCTGGATAGTATTGAGAAGATTCACTTATACTATCCAATGTAATATACATTGTGCATTAGAAGACTATGGCCTCTATGTTAGGGCCTGTTTGGCTGAGCTGTTCCGGAGACAAATGTTCGACATTTGAGTTCCTAGTAATTAGTTCAAAGGGTATACAGTAAAACTAGCATTTAGTTTAGAGCCGCGGTTCAAGACTACTTGTTTATGGTTCAAAATTATAACTGAAACGCTGAAAATTGAAATTTTCAGCTGTTAGCATTTCGACTTTCAAGTGCAGCCGGTGGACAAGGCTACAAATATTATTTATGTTTATATCCCAAAATAAAGAAATATGTTTAATGAGTTAGTTAACAAGCATATCTATATGTAAATAGTACCTTTTTGGTGGAGCAAGCAAGACTATTGAATAGTACCTTGATGCTCACTCTTAAATATAGTGAACTGTGTGCATATATATCTTGGTTTGATGAGGTGTGAGAATAAAAGCATAAATGAAAATTGTGATTTTGTATTTTTTTTTCTAAGTCCAAAGTCTCTTTCTTTTGTCAATTTTGTTCTGTTTAGTGGTAATGAATAAGAAAGTCATGTGGCTACAATTTAGAAGGAACAATCATAGGCATGTGTAAGTATTGTTGGAAGAAAATAATTAAAATGACATTTAAAGAAAGATTCCTAAAACCTTGAAACAGCAAACCATCATGCTTTATAGTCATGGATAGCATGTTGACATTTTTGTCATATTATATTATATAATGGAAGAAATGGAAGCAACATCTCTAATGAAACCAAATAATTCAATCCAGCATGCTGTTTTTTCCATGTACATAATTGCTTAGATATTAATTTATCATTAAGTTTTTATTCTAGATCCTGCTTGAATTATGATGCTTCACCTTTCCATCAAAGATGGTTTCATTTTTGTTTTCATTTTATTTTTTAATCGAATTTAAAATATGCAAATTCGTTCAGCTAGCTACTCGCATATTTGAATTTGACTTAATTTTAAATGATTTACATTTGAAGTCGAGTTAAATTTTTTAGTTTGAGTAATGTAATATTTAGTTTAGTACTGGTAAGATTAATTGAACATTTGAAGTTTAATATAATTATATGCATATGTATTATGAAAATAATGTTTGAATTATAATTTATAAATTTGAGTTAAAACTTGAGATATGGGAGTTTTTTTTTTAGTACAATAAACAAAGATAATCTAAATTTTCAACTGTAATTGAATTAGGCCGAGCTAGAATCTAGTTTCATGTAATATCATATCATATTAACTCGATTTGATTTTATTATTATAATAATTGATTATAATGTCATAAGGGAAGTGATTGAAATGTTTCTCCAAGCTATAAAAATTTGAGTTAGATATATCTATCAGGAAATCTCTATTCAGAATCTTGCTAGGGTTAGGAATTTCATACTAGCTGGAGAAGATGACAAATTGTGATACAAAGAAGAGTTTGGGAAATTTAAGTGCTGGTTGGATGAAAGTAACAAGACTCAAAAGGATGCTAGTGCTTTGAAAAGTGAACAATAATCATTGAAAAGGTGTTACTAAAGAGGTAAATAGCCAATTGGCCACTCCCCAGTATTAAATGATCAGTGGCACAGAAAGTTAATATATATTTCAGATTTCTTCCAATCTGAAAGATACTTATCAGTTACCACTACACCGTTTGAAAACTGTACACTAAAAATACTAAAATTATCTCAGGACAACAGCTTTTTAAATAATTTTTAGCGTAACATTATTTTTTATAGTGTTCAGTAATATAACATTTGAATTAGCTTTTAGAGATTAAGGTAACGTTTTATAAAAAATTAACCAATATAATATTTAATTTTTAGCATTTCATGAAAAACTACTCAAATAAATACTAGCTACTCAAATAGCTAAATTTTATTAAAACAGATAACAGCTATGAGAACAGCTAATTTTGTGAAACAGACTCTAGATCTTAGTTGGATCCTAATTAATTAGAAAATTAAAAAAAAAAAGGTGCATTAGATCCTTAATTAGCCAGCATAGGTTGTCAATTATGAGTTATACTCTCATGATTTAGGTTTTCTTTGTTCAAATTAAAAAAACAAAGTCTCATTGTATTTGCTATCCTAAATTTTGTTAGGTGTCAGTTTGGAAAGTCCAGAAAGATTTTCTAGGTATTACCAATTTGCTTTTACTAAGTTTCCCTGCTTAATATCTGTGACCTACAAGTAACCTAAATTTTACCAATTTGTTCTTTCCATATAACAGCAAACTAGTTACAAAAGGCACACACTAGTCTTTCCCTAAGAATATTGAGAAATTTGTCATTGTATTTATAACATAGCTCACGAGACTATATATCTTTAGGGGTGTGCAAAACAACGAATCAAACTAAACCGACCCATTTCGATTCGATCACTTATTTAAAGGAGGTTTGGTTTGAACAAAATTTATTGTTTGGTTCAAGTCGATTTCAAAGAAATTCATCGATTGGTATTAAAATTGAACTGACATGGCAAACACCAATCAAAATCAGATGAAGCGACTGATTTGGTTTGGTTGCAAAATTATTGGCCTAACGGTGAGCTTTATTATGAACTACTATTCTCATCAGCTTTCCTAAACAAAAACACCTATGAATTGCAAAATTATTAGTGAAAAGTGCAACTCTATATAGCTTTAACCTAAAAAGGTACAAGTCTTAAATCATAAGTATGAAGAATATAGCTATAGGTTCCAAATCCATGATTTTCAAGAAGGTCACTAGGCTCTTGGTCCTAACATTTCCTAAAATTATAAAATGAGACATTGGTTGGTGCTCCAGTGTGACCACATGTTTTCTCCTCAAGAACTCCAATAATTATCACATTACAGAAGAAAATGCCAGTGGACCTATATACTATATATCTAACTCCTGAATTATATATAGTGCTTGATTACTAATATTTAGAGCTGTAAATAACCCAACTCGTTCGTTAATGATTTGAGGTTTAGCTAAAAAGAAAAATTCATTTGAGTTTGTTCAATAAGTTTGATGTACCGAATTTGAGTCTTATTTAATAAATGAACCAAAAATTGAGCTCTAATTCGAGTCTATAATTACATTTTAAAAAAAAAAAAACTATGAACCATAAATAAGTCGAGTTTGAGCTTAGCAAAACTCGACTTATTTATAACCCTATTTCTAATTCTAGCACATGAATTTGGAAGATATACTTATTCCGAGTCAAGTACCTTTTTCTTTGATAAGAAGAGTAATCACCATATGTTCCAATACCTAGTAGAAAAATTAGTCCAAGATAGGATGTTCATAAACTGCTTGAAACTGATTTGAACCTAATTAATTGAACTATAAATCATGATTTAAATAATTAAAATAATGTTTTGTTTTGATTTGAGAAGTTTTAATATTGAAATTGGTTTGGTTTGGTTTGTGGTTTGACCTTTACAACCACTTAAAGTAAACCTAACCAAGTTACTTGTATCTAAATATAAAAAGATGTCGTTTTCTTTATAAACGAACATCCTTCTTCCTTAGCTTTGTCTAACCCTTAGGCTCGTTCGATGCACTTTAAAACGCAATAAACTTGTCTGAAGAGTGACATTTTGTGCCATTTTTTTCTCCTTCACTTTTGTGGATGGCAAGTTTGGACAAGGTTTAAGATAAACTTCTTTGGGTAATTACTATATAGTACCTAAGTTTCTGTTAAATACACTAGTGAGGACTTCGGTTTTTAAAATTACACTATTTACTCCTTTCATTATAATTATGTTATACTATCAGGTCCAATAATTAGTTTTTTATTAAGTGGTTGTGAAATATCAAAAATACTCTTAACAATAATTACTATATAGGGATAAAATAGAATAAAATTATGAAAATTGAGGTCTTTACTAATGTATCTCATTAATCCATTGTATAGTAATTATATGTAGCATTACTTTTGACATTTCATTGTCACTTAATAAAAAAATTAACGGTTAAATCTTATAGTATAATGGAGTTGAAATGCAAGGATTAAATAGTGTAATTTTGAAATTTGAGGTCCTTACTAAGCCAGTGTATTATAGTAATTATTTTGACTAAATAATACAAAATAAATATTTTATTTTTCATATCTCTTTATCTAGTTAAAACAGAACTATTAATAATAATGGGATCCTGTACTAGGAAACGCTCCTACTTTTCTTTGTAGATTTTCTTACAAGACCTTTTTTCTAAAAAGAATTTACAAATAATTTCCAATGAAGATGTTGATGATTTCCTAGGAATAATAAAACAAAGAAAGTGAGAGATTTCTTGGTTGTACTTTTAGCCTTTGTTTTTGAAGGAATAAAAATAACCATGGAAAATATTTAAGACTAAGCTATTTTCCTTTGTTTGGAAAAGAGAAAGAAAATATTGAAAGTAATAATATTTTTTTTTATTTATTTTATCTAAGTCTATATGTTTTCAAACTCTCAAATTTGAAAAAATTTTCCTTTTATTTATCTTTAAGACTGTATATATATTCTCAATATTTTTTTGACTGAAATATAATTCTGAATTTATTCTTTTTTGAAAAAAATGATATGCAATATTAAAAATGAGATTATGAAATACTCTATAATTATATAACAACATACAAAAACATAACAACCAATTTCACTTCAAATTATATGATTGAAAATTTAGTTGTAAATACCATAAAATTAGGATTTTTTTTAAATGATAAAATTATGACTTTAACAAAATGTATAGATTAAACAAAAATAGAAATAGAAATATGTATATATAAAGAGAGATTTAGAAAGTTGAAAATTGAAATTTTAGAATTATACAACTCTTTTATGAATTGAAAGTAAAATTAGTTTTGAATTAAGAATTGATATTTTGAGCTATTTTAAATGGTTTAATTAATTAAAATTTTTATTAGATGCATAAAATTAATATTTAAATACTTCTTCAAAAAATTTAATATTTAAATAAATGCACCATAAAAAAGTTATATATGGCTATTGAAATTTTCAATTGGTTTCTATAAATTTATTCTTCCTTTGTTCATTAAAAAGTGATTGATATAATGCATTGATGTCTCTTTAAATCTCAAAAATAATAATAACAAATGAATATAACTTGCTTCAAAGGTAGAAAGTCATTTAAATATTTTTAAATCTATGATTTATATTCAAAGTGTTACATCTAATGGTAGATATACATTTCTTTACTGGTAAAGAAAATTTTTTTTCTGTAAAAATAACAAAAAAAACTAGATATGTCTTTTTATTATTTTAAAATAAACGAGGGCATAGTTGTTAATTTCTAATAATAATATTTTCCTTCCTCTAAAATTTTTGCTCTTTCTATCTAAAAAAAAAAAAAATTATTTTCTTTCATTCATCATATTCAAGTACAAACATAAAAATAACTATGAAAAAAAAAATGAAATTCCTTATTATTTTCCATCTGCTCCTTTTCAAACAAAGTCTTATTGATTATCCTCTTATAGGAAAGATGAAGCCGAAAAAAAAAAAAAAAAAAAAAACAAAAAAAATAAAAAGGATAATTGGTCATTTTATTTGAAAAAAAAAAAAAAAAAAAAAAGGAAATTGTCATTTATTGCAGGCAAGGAGCTTCTCCTCACCAATGACTTGTTTGGTTTTGATTCCTAGTCAATCATCAACTATTAGATAGAAATCCATAATTTCTGGAGGGACAATAAAGTGTACACTTGCTTATATTTTCCATCTGCGACAAAACCAAGACCCCAGATCGTGACTGGATATGCCATGTTTGGTTCAGCCCTTTTTATTAGTTATTGGATGCTAGCAGTCAGCTTAGCTGTTTGTTTGGACCGCGCGTACCTTCACCCCAACCTCGGATTAGTATAATATTATCCGCTTTGGACCAAGCTCTCACGGATTTGTTTTTGAGCACCTCAGAAAAGACCTCATGTTAATGGGTTGGGTTGAACCATTATATTTTGGTTCCTCTTATCATTTTTGTTCAGTGTGGGACTTGGAGGCTATCCCAACACTGTTTATGGTTGATAATTGCAAGTTAAGAGATCAAAAGACTATTTACTATAGATTTCAGTTTTTCAATATTCCAGTAATAATTTTCTAACTTAATCACATTAGTGTAGATCTAGCTATTAATACAGTGAGAAGAAAATAAAGGATTCGTAATTCCAGTAATAATTTAATTATTGTTGTCATATTAAATTTAATTGAAGATGTTTATTTTACTCGATCGACCTCATTCGAGCTCGATGGGTAAAATCATATCGGTTTATAATTGGGGCATGTATAGGTATATAAGCCGAAATCTATCCAAACCCAATCTAATTAATTTTTTTTCTCTTCTTTATATGAGTATATATAAACATGAAACCAATCCGTTGTTCAATTTAATTTAATACGGAGCGGATATCTGATGGATATTATTTTTTGTCGACGTGTATACATATATGTTTTGTAAAGAATCTCTAAATTCAATGAACATTACAAATTAGCAATTGAGAACTCAAACTAGTAATGAGAGATGGTTTCTTGAAACTTGTTCTCTTTTTTTTGCAATTCTAAAAGAGATAAGAGAAGAACTTAACAAACTAGCAATTAAAATAAGTAATGAACTTTAATATAGTCCAATGGTAATAAAGTTTTCTACAAGGATGTGAGATAATAAGTTGAATGAGAGTCTAATTTAACAAAAAAAAAAAAAAAAAACTATTTAACAAAAAAAAAAAATAAAAATACATTTAAGAACATATTATATATAAATATAAGTGCATCTAGCTATAATCGTGAAAAATATTTTTAGCGAAAAAAAAAAAAAAAAAAAATACATTTTAAGAACATATTATATATAAATATATGCATCTAGCTAATAATTGAAAAATATTTTTAGCGAAGAAGATGAGCCATGTCAAACCAGATTTGCTCAAATGCCTTGATAATGAGATGATGATATTCTTTTGAATTAAGTGAAAGATAGCAAGCAAGAAGGTCTTCTAAATCTTTCGATGTTCGAATATTATTCTCTATGATCATCTCCACCATTGAATCCTTAAAATCTTTCTGTGGATCAACTGAGGACTTAACAACTGCACAGCCTTCTAAGAAAGTCTTGTTTCTTGATAAGCTTTTACGAGCAGAAGCCTGAATTTTCCTGCTAGCAATTCTTGGAGAGTTAGTTCTAAGCCTTATCCCAACAGAATTTGATGATGTTGATGATCTTTGCATAATAGGATTGATCTTTTGCTCTTTATGAGTCCTAAATCTTTCCTCCTTGACGATCTTAACGGAAAAAGATGGGTTTGCCTTTATCTCCTCTAGTTTAGATGATCTTCTTCTCAACTTAGCGTTTTCTTGAGTCTGTCTTGGTTTGGTGAATATAGGAGCAAGCTCTACATCACAAATGGCTTCCAACTCATTAATCTTTCTTTCTTTACTGTCAAAAGATTCACTATTGACATCGATAATAATATCACTAGGACTAGAAGAACCTGTTTGTTTACAATATTTACAAGAAGAAATTGCAGCAACTTGTTGATCAAATGACGAACTAGAGAGAAATCCAAAGTCTTCATCAGATTCGGATACAAGAGATTCTTCAAAGTCAGGCTCCGGTGAGCTTTCAGGAGACCTATTACTTACAGTAGAAGAGAGAGAAGACGATATAAGTTTAGGAGAAGGCTTGTAAATGGTTTTTCTCTGGTTTCGTTTCTTGGAAAATAATGTTGAGGATGATCTTCTTGGTGACTCAGGAAAAATAGTGTCTAACGCTTTTGTGTTTATAGGTGAGTGATAGAAATTTTCAGCTCTATTAGGTTCAGAAGCGAAGTAATAAGTGTATTTTGGGTGAGAAATGTTGGGTTTTTGAGATGAAGATGTTTTTTGCTTTAAGGGATTAGAAGAGCATTGCTTTCTGCCTTTGTTCATATCCTTCAGCTTGTAAAACCAGGCATTTGGTATCATATCTGATAATCTAAATCTGTAATTACCCATCTTCCTAAATCAATGCTAGTTAGAACACTCTCTTCTGTTTTCTAATAGGAAATTGGTTTCCGTTTCCCTCTCTTCTCATACCAGAAGGAAAACAAAAAAGAAAAGAAAAGAAAAGAAAAGAAAAATTGAAAGATTTTATGGAGGAGAGACAAGAAATTCAGATATAAATAGGACACAAGGTTTGAGTAATAAAAGGTAAAGGTAAGATGGAGTTTGCTAAAAAGGTTAAGCATGCATATATAAAAGCAAGGAGAGTCAAGAATTCACTTTAAATCACATAGTAAAAAAATGCATTATCAAAATTAAAAAATGCAGAAAAAAAAGCTAGGAATTTATAAAAAATATTTATAAATCAATTTAATTATAGCTAGGAATTTTTTATTCATGGAAATGATCCTTTAATTATTATCTATGATAAGAAGATTTTAGTGTATCAAATGGTTATGCCATTTTGATGCCCTCACTATGGCCAGCCAATGGCCAATACATTGCTGCAAAAGGAAGGATTGTGAACACCTCATTTTGGGAGCTTTACACAATTTGTTTAGCAAAACAAATTTATCATAAATGATGATTATAGCAACCATTAAGGCCCATATGTCTAGTAAGTGCTGTTTTTTCCCTTCCATGCTTCAAAAATGATGATATTCCTTCTCTTTTCAATTAACTGCTGCTATTTCTATTTGACCCACAAAGCCAGCTCCTCCACATCCATTTATTTTCAGGTCCCCACTAAAGCAGTGCAAGCTGAAAATACCCTTTATGCTAGAGCCTGTGAGGTTTTGAATGTTATATTGTATGCAATGGAGATACTATAAATTTTGAATGTTTCTTTTTTTTTTTTTTTTTTTTTTTTTGTTATATTCTTGTAATGCATGGAGATAATATAAATTTTGAATTTTCTTTTTTATTTTTTTTTTTTTTTTTTTTTTTTTTTTGGTTATGAATGTTCTTAAGGTTGTGATTTGGCACCGCTTTTTAAATAGTTTTAACGTTATTCTTGTAAGTTGTTGCGTAACAAAGTGTTTGAACTAGCGTTTTAGAGAATTAAGTTACCATTCTTATAAAGAAGGTTTAATCTCCTATAATGTTTGAACTAGCATTTTAATATAAATACTTCTGAAACATAAATCACCTAGAGAATTTTTAATATATCTAGTATATTATTTTCCCTAAATATTAGATATATTTTGAAATTTCTAAATAGGTTTGAACAAAAATAGTGATTAGGAATATAGCTACTTTTCATCTTATAATTGTAAGAAATATCTTGAAATTTTATTTTTGTGCTTTTCTAGATGGGATGAAGAATAATATGCAGTAAAGTTACCATGTCAAATAGAGGAGAGGTCCTCATCTCATTTTTAACGTAATAATGGAATGCAAAAGTTATTAATTTTATGTCTTCTATAATGAGTTGATAAATATAAATATACCTGGTATTTTTCAAACAACATTTTAATTTTTTTTTTTTTTTTTTTTTTTTTGGTTATGAATGTTCTTAAGGTTGTGTTTGGCAACCGCTTTTTAAATAGCTTTTAAACGTTATTCTTTATAGTGTTCGGTAACAAAGTGTTTGAACTAGCTTTTAGAAATTAAGTTACCATTTTATAAAAGGTTAATCTCCTATAATGTTTGAACTAGCATTTTATAAAATACTTCTGAACATAAATCCTAGAAAATTTTATATATCTATATAATTTTCTAAATATAATATATATTTGAAATTTTCTAAATAGGTTTGAACAAATAGTGATTAGGATATAGCTACATCTCATTTTATAATTGTCAAGAAATATCTTAAAATTTTATTTTTGTGCTTTTCTAGATGGGATGAGATAATATGCAAGATAAAGTTACATGTCAATAGAGGAGAGGTCCTCATCTCATTTTACGTAATAATGGAATGCAAAAGTTAATTAATTTTAGTTTCTATAATGAGTTAGATAAATATAAATATACTGTATTTTCAAACAAATTTTACATGAAGGGATTTAAAATCTGAAATCATTAATATTAAAAGAGTTGTATCTAAATATTACTCTTATTTCGAGTAAGAAAACTATATATAAATCCCAAAAAAAAAGAAAAATCTTACCTTAGAATTTCCTATAGATAAGGTTAGACAGATGAGATGAGAGAGGGTCGTGCTTTTGCGCATATTTTCAACTCTATAAAATATTTTCCAGCTAAAGAAGCAACTGTGTGTGTATATGATTGATTCTGGTAAAAAGGTAGATGAAAAAGTTACAGCTAAGCTCACATGCTCTTGGTTTATTAGTCTCCTCCTAATCCTTTATCTGAGCCTAATCAACTGCAAGCCAAGCTTGGAAATATTAAGAGCTTGTCAGACAAAATTAGTTGTTTTGGTAGCTATTAGCTACTAAAAGCTATTTTTAACCTTTAAAAATTTATCAAAATGCTAAAAGCAAGTTAAAAAACTATTGTCAAATATAATCTAAATGTCGTTTATCTTTATGGCCTGAAATTTATTGGATGAGTTAGAACTGTGTACTCCCTTTATTGGGGTTATCTTTCCCTTTACTATTCAAAATAGTGAAAATTTTTATAGTCGAAAGGACTTGAACCGAAGGACTCTTAAGATCAATCTGATAGCATATGATTTCTGAATCAAGCCTTTGATGTCAACATTAACGAAGAACTTTTACATTCAATATCTTATAAATTAAAAAATATATGCAATAAAGTAATAATATTGTTATTTATGTGTACGGCCCCCATCGAAACAATCTCTGGCCCATCTATTCAAAATTTTTGGACTGGAGTTAGGTCCAATAGCCATGAACTGTGGACGAATGAGGACAGAAGTGATATATATACATGCATACATACATATAGAGAGAGGCTACAGGAGGAAAACATGAGAAAAGAAACCATTCATGAAACTTGAAAAAAAACAGAAAGAAGAGTAATTGATTAGTGACGAGAGTGAACAGAAAAAACAAGATGTTTCAATTTGAAGACAGAAAAGTAGTGCTACGATTTGAACCAACAGAAGAGACGTTGCAATTGAGAGACAATTCACAACACCTTTGCCTAGCAAAATAACAAAGTACAATTATCCCAAATTTTCAAGAAAAGTTTATTATTATTATTATTATTATTATTATTATTATTATTATTATTTGTTCTTTGTTTTTTTTTTTATTAATTTGATTCTGACCGAAGTTTGTGTGCTTTTAATTATAGTTAAACGGTATAATAAGTCGATTTGAGTCTGTGTTTTCAAGTCATAATGTAGATAGGGGTAGACTAAAATCGGTTAAATCAATGGTATTCCATCCAACCAACAAGTTTGATTTATTTTTCATAGCATTCGATTCAGTTTTTATTTTATATAACAAGAAGTAAGCCTTATTTTCAAATTAATTAGAGTCAGCTATATGAATATTTTGTTTCTAATATCCATTTTGATCAAATTAATATCAACACATATTTAGTCAATAAGAAGAAACTCTACTCGTCTTTCTTTGACTCTCTCTTTCTTGTATTCTTTTAGATTTTGTTTCTAAACCACCGCCGACCATTTTTTTTATCCCTCACTGTCGTTTTTCTTTATTTTGTTAATTTTCTTTCTAATAACTTTCAAACCTTGAATCGTTTGAAATAAAAGTTGGATTTAGTTTCTCAGACCTGTAGATCTTGAGTGTTTTTACTACCCTCTTAATGGGGTTATTAATTTCTTTCTTTTCATGAGGCTATTCCTCATTGTTGAGGAGTTTTATGTGATCTTTTATTTCTCAGGTAATTCGAAAGCAAGATGGATTGTTGGTTGATTGTAGTTGGAGACTTCAGATCTTCTAAATTCGAGTAAGTTTCTTTTACTAATTGAGCCTGGTAGTGCGGCTTGTTCCTCTATTAAAGTTTGGTATATTAAACTCTTCTACAAGCATCAGTTGTAACTAATTTCCGAAAAAACAATATTCGGGAGAATATCGTGAAAGGTTTCTTTTCTTGTCCTATTTGAAAATTGACCACTTTTTACCTAGAAGATTAACCTCTTCTGTCAAGATCAAGAACATCTTCAAACAGAAGATTTCAATTTTCTACATTTGTATTTCTTATTTCTATCGGAATATTATGGTGTACTCAACTTATATTCATTATTAATAAATTATTTAAGTTTTCAAAAAAAATTAATATCAGCACAAAGCGAAGTATAAGTCGGAAAAATTTTGAAATACCTTTTATAAAAAAAAATTGAAGGAGAATTTTAAATCATTTGATATAATAATATGTAAAATAGAGCGTAATAGGTAATTTTTATTTTATGTAAAAGAATTTTTTTGGTTTGGTCAATTTTTTTAAATTTGAAAAAGAATCAATTTAATTTTTAAAAATTAAATTAAAACCGAATTAATTAGGCGTAATTCGATTATATATATAATTTTAACACGGTTCATTTCACTTTTTTTTATTAAAAAATCAGTTCATTATGTTAGAATTGATACTATAATTTAAATTGAACTAAACTGATATAGTGTTTAGCAATAAATTATCTCATCTATGATGGAGGGAAGTCTAAATGGAATACAAGTGATATTGTAAATATTTAGGATACGTACAAAAAAAATAACTGTTTTGATAGCGGCTAGCTTTTTAGTAGTGTTTAGTTATTAACTGTTTGAGTAGTTTTTCATAAACTACTAAAAGTTAAATATTACATAAGTTAACTTCTCACAAAATATCACCCTAACTTCCAAAAGTTAATTCAAATGCTATGTTATCAAACACTACAAAAAATAGTATTTAGGTTACTTAAAAAGTTATTGTCGAATACAACTTTAATCTTTATTTTTGTAGACATAGTACTTGAGGTTTTGGATTAGCATTTAGTTATTAGATTAGTTCATTGAAAAATTAAATATTTCATTATGTTGAGAGACCAGATGACAAAGATTTCAATTTTTTTTTTTAACCAGATTTCTTGAATTTAAACTTTAGTTATGAAATTTTTTAAAACATTCGGAACTAGCATTTTGCCCCTTTCTTGGACTTACGAAAGCGAATTCAGATCAATCGGCAGTAGACTTGGGACACGGACACATTTAATGCCTGAAAACATGTATACCAGTTGTATTAAATAGTTTCTAGTGATTGGGGCGGGGAGGCAACCAAGCAATCAAAAGTATAGTCTATTCTGTAGTAATTGTTCCCATTGCTGAAACACGACCACCATGTCCCTGTAAAGTTGGTAATTAATTGGGCTTCAAATTTTGGAGACTTTGTCTGGTTCTTGGCCCAATTCATCCAAAGCCGAACTCAACTGAAGGAGAATATGTATTTGCCCTTAAAAAAAAAAATGTTTAGTTTTTTATTTTTATTGCGTTACCATATATAAATCCGAATTTATCTTTACATTCAGAAATAGTTAATTTAATTCAAAATAATTGAATCAAATCAAATTCATTTTTTTTATATTCAATTTCAGATTTCAATACTATAAAAAAAGAATATTCAGTTGGATCGAAATTTAGATGGTTGAATTTACTTTAGCTTGGTTAACTGAATGCACAATCTTACGGAAAAAAGAATAAAATAGGTAAATTCACAAATCTAACAATAACAAATCAAACTAATGAAAGTATTGTTGTCTAATAATATAATTCTTCTATTTTATAAAAAAAAAAAATCAATAAAAATAAGATGAAATGAAATAAAGAGAAAGATAACAATATAAGAAATCAAGAAAAAAAAGTGAAAATGAGGTAAATAGCCTATTTTGATATTTTAGCAAGAAATTTCAATCAAGTAGACTTCTTTTTTATTTATTTATTTCTTTGGAAATCTCAACGAGCTGAAATAACAATATGAGCTATATAATAGAAGTATCCTTCCTAACTCACTGAATTAAAGAAAACTGGTCGAAAGTACTCGAACTCGACACTCTTCACTTTTCACGTAAGTGAGAAGACCAATCAAACCACAAATAACTTAAATGATAGAAAATGAAATTGATACAAAAATATAAAAATAAATAAAGTTTAAACACTAAAAATTTATAGTTATTCCACCTAATAATAATCAATCATTGACTGTATGCAGGACGAATAAATGGACAATCTGGCAAAAAAAATTTTTCATTTTCGGCAATTAAAAAAGAAAACAATGGAGCTATTTTGCAAATCTTCTTAAGATTCCAAGATGTTTAGTAGGGTGCCACTTTCATGAACTCAACATTCCAAGACGTGAACACAACAAAGGCCCGAATGCCTAACTAACATCCACTCAATCTCTCACTCCATATGGTACACCAACCGTTTACAGGACACATATGTTGGCGTGTCACGGTTCAGTTTCGAATCAAAATCGATTTGATCAAAACCCAGTGCTAAATCATAATTAATGATTTTTTATTCTAAACTGTAATCGAAAATGTATATTTAAAATTCAGTTCCAGTTTTTCATTTCATTCCAATTTGAAACTATGAAAAATAGATTCTTAAAAAAATTTCCAAAATTTTTTTTATTATTATAATTTTTTAAATTAAATTAAGAATTTTTACTCAATGATTTAGTTTTTTCAATAGTAATATTTATTATTATTATTATTATTTATTTAAGATAAAAATTAAAAAAAAAATTGAAAGAACTTGAAATGAATTATCCAAAACTATTTTAGAAACCGATGGTTCAGAATCGATTCCACCTTTTTTATAACTGAAAACTGTCTAACCGATGGTTCGGTTTCAGTTCCACTTTTTTTTATAAATGGAAACGGCAGTTTTGAAGCTGAAATTGTGGTTGTAGAACAGTGGACATACCTACATATATCCAAGTCTCTCACCATATAATACCTGGGCAATCAGAAGCAACAGAAGCCACACTTCTGTTGATCTGTTCCATTTCTTCAACTACAATCTGTTTTCCCCATCATTAGATATGAAAGTGAAAGCATTAGTTGCCTTCAAATCCAAGCTTTTCAGTCCATGTAAAAAACTATTTCGAACCTTCAGATTCAAACTAAGAAAACCTGTCTTTATAAAAGCTCTTCGCTTTCATGCTCGTCGAAACAAGACCAGAAATGCTCCTTCAAAGAATCAAATTTTAACTACATTACTTTCAGCTTTCAACCTGCGACGAAAGCTGTCAACGGAGATGGACAGAGTTGCGGAGCTTAGGAGTGTCTCTGAAGCAAGGCATGAGAGAAAGCTCTTTCCATCCCCTCTTACACCGGCTTATATCAAGGCCAGCAGGACCTCAATGAGCAAAGCTTTTGGTAGTGAAGATGTTGAAGATGCATGCGGAAGTTTTGAGAACTATCTGGTGGAAATGATAGTTGAAGAAGGAAAAGTGAGGGATTTGATGGATGTTGAAGAGCTTTTGTATTGTTGGAAGAATCTCAAGTGCCCTGTCTTCATTGATTTAGTATGTAGATTCTATGGAGAGCTATGCAAGGACCTATTTTTGCCTGAGGATGACAATAACAACGATATTCCAATTGATTCTGCAGATATACTTGTTTCCAACCACACTGCATAAAAGCAAAAAGAGAGACAGAGAGAGACAAACAAAAGAAAATATTCCTTTTTTTAGTTAATTAGGCTCCAATTGGAGGGGGTTTGAACTTGCAAAAAGGCCTTATTGTAATATCTCTTTGTTAGAACATTGTAATACAGGTAGGAAATGGAAGGAATGGAAGGAATAAAGCCAATTTGGAAAGGTTAGCTCACACCAGTGTATAAAACAGATCACCATACACAAAAAAAGGAGACAAAAATCTAAAGGATACAATGGCATTATCAACTAGACATCTATTTACAGTTTAAGAAGCATGACAAAATTTATGCAGCTTACTACAAATATAGATGTGATAGAAACAACAGGTAGGAAGTACAAGCATTGAGCTTCTGGGTTTTGATTCCACTGCATTATGCTATCTATAATATCAAAAACTAAAAATATTAGCAGCTGACTAACTAAGCTACGAATTGGCACATTCAAAACAATAGATAATTAGCTTTGAAAGGTTACCAGCCATTGGAGAACCTCCGTCGGTCATTAACAGGGAAATGGTTTCTTTTCTGAAAGATAAACCCGAGACTTCATCAATCTGTCACCGATTCTGAACCCAGGCATGACCATAAACTCAACTTTGGAATCGGACTGTCGTCCACTATGGACGAATTTATCTTCATCTTCTACAGATTCCATGTGAACATCCGAGAATTTGCTTCCTCTATTCACTGCAAATATTTCAGCTTTGGGATTAATTGAGGTTGCAATCCCTTGTAGAACCCAAACCCATTTCGCCATTCTCGCAAATATTTGATAGAATGGTGTCCTCGGATGCTTGCCACTCAATACAAACATCCTTTGGTCCAAGTTACCGAAGAAACACAACTCCATTACTGGATGAACAACAAATAAGTACTTTTTTTGGCAGAAATTGGCAAAATCTGAATTTGGATTTTCTATCACAGAATCCATGGGATCATCAAACCTCATAACATCATTAACATCATAGGATTTAAGTTTTATTCCATGAAACATTCTTCGTGCAATGTAGGCTTCAAACGCATACTTCTTATGCGACCTTTTGCAATAGACAACCCCACTTTCAATTGAATTTGCTGCCAAATCTAAATCCCAACGTGAAGCTTTCATCAAGCTAATTACTGGCTTTGCAAAATCATGAATAGACTTTGAAGCTTTTCTATACGCATCCTCAAACATGGAAAAATTTAAAACTTTGACACATTTTCTCTCCAAACTTTTCTTTCGTATCTTCTCTGCCAATATGGCATTCCCCAAATCCAAATCATTGAGTTCTTCTCTCAAACGAACAATCTCATCATCTTTAGCTCTTGTTTGTACCTTTAGTTTCTCTAACCTCCTCTCATTTACTTCAATCTCTACTCTTAGACATTCCAAACGAGAGGAATCAAGCTTGGAATTATTGAATTTTATCTCTCTATACGTCCTCTTGGTCTTACAAAGACCTTCCAGCTGAGCAACAACAACTTCATCAGCAGCTATAATCTTATCAGGGTTATATGGAACATGAGCCTCCTGAAGCTGAATATAGGCTAATTTCAAAGCAGAAACTGATTCAAATAACTGAAGAACAAAGTCTCCACCACAATCTTTGCTTTCAACAGGCTGTGGATGGATTTTCTCACCATCACAATCTGTTCCCTCAGTAGCCTCGCTGCTATCTTCACCCAATGAGAAGACATTAGTGCCATTTAGGTTATGATGGTATTGGTTATGTTGCTGATTTGGGTTTTCATTAGAGAAAACACCAATAGATCTCAGTTTGCAAACTTTAGCAAATTTAGAGACCATTTCTGATATGTTTGAAGAAGGTTTAGAAGGTTTAGAGGGCGCAAACTCCATTCTTTTGAAAAAGATCAAAAACCCTAAATTAAGACGGATCTAATGATTATGTGATTAAAGGAATCTTTTGCTTTCACGAACAGTAAATTGGAGCAAATAAAGACCAAAAAGAAAAAAAAAAAGAAAAGAAAGAAATTATAATATAAAATTCATAGCAAGCACTAAAGAGGAAACAAGATCACGGGTCATATGCCTTAAACCCTGGCAATGGCTACAAACAACTAAGATTAAAGAAATAATCAAAATGGGTATTGGAGTTAATTATGTCATGAAAAAGTTTATTAAATAAATATTACCATCTAAGATTTGTGACTAAAAGAGGGTGAAGATATTCCAAGTAATTAAACAAGCTACCTTTAAGCCAATTAAATTTCCCATATCAATCAAAGTGGTTCAAAACCCACCAAACCTACCAACTGGCTAAGCTTTAAAAAAACAAAAACGCAAGCTTCAAACTGAATACGCCTTTTACCATCACAAACCAAAATAAACCCACAAAGAAAGCAAATGGTTTCTCACCGTTTAAGCCCTCCCCTGTGTCTCTGATCTAAAAGCCACTGTTTTCAAGTTTCAAACTTTTTCTGGGATTTGAAGCTCCACAAAGCATATGGGTACTCAAAAATGGCGTTTATTACGGTCTGCATTTGAAAAAGCTGAATGTGGGAGGGAGAGACAAGTACCTGAGTTTAGTTTTGTTAAGTTTAGTTTAGTTTAAATAAAGACTTATTTTTTTAAAATGTACTGTAGTTTAGATTATTCATTATTCATTGGTTTTGGTGCATTGATCTTGTTTTTGTGTGAAATGAAAATGTTGAGAATTGAAAAAATTTATATTGTCAGATCAAAAAGACAATTTATTGAATATTTTTGGGGAAATGGACAGATTCTGTGGTGGTTGCAGTTTCAGAGGCTGCAGCAACAGTGTTTGAATTCGCTGTTTGGAGTTTGACGTTAAAAGAGAAACAACAGCGTCTTATTTTACCAAGAATTTACTATTAACCGCACGAGACTTTCTTTTTCTTTTTCTTGTCTTTGTTTTGTTTTTCTGTCTTCTATTCTATGTTTTGCGTCAGAGGCTTCAGAAGAGTCGCTAATACCCCGTGGGAAGTGAGACTTTCTCTTTTTCAGATTCAATTATGGCTCTTGAGATACCGTGGTATAAGGTGACATTTTACTAGTAACGACATCGTTTCTTTAAAAAATAATGTTGCACAGATTCACGAAAACGACACCGTTTAATTTAGTTTAGTTCAAGATTCATAAAACTAGATGCTACACGTCATAAATTCATATAAGCTATTTCCTCTAGATCTTTGGAAAGCATTACTCATAAAAAAAGAACATTATCCATCTCAAAAATCTCATTTTGACTAGGATTTGCAAATAAATTAAGTTGTTTGCGAACCATTTAGAGTTTAAATTAATTAAAAGCTCATTTGAATTCAATTCTTAAAGCTCTTTTAATAAATAAATCGAGTTTGAATTAAAAATTTTAAACTAGTCTAAACTCATCTACAGCTTGATTTTAGACTCATTAAATTATAGAAATCTGGGAGTGATAGAAAATACAAATTATAGAAATAGTGGGAGGAGGATCCAACTTAAATAATTGAGACGGGTCTATCTCTTTCATGATGGATAATTGGTTTCACATGTCATCCCCACATTTCCCATCTTAATTTGAAAACCCTAAAACTATATTGGGTTAACGGTCAATTTCAGGATTTAATGGGAAAAATGTGATGCAAGACACACTCTACTAGTAGCTCCCCAGACAAAGGCATAATAGATGTGAACAAAAGCATAGAAACAATTTATACTGCCCTTCCCTAAGTCATCACCTTTCCATTTTCTCCACATCTTTGTAAGACAATACCCCACGCTTGCACCAACCTTTTCAATATTAAGGGAATATGATTTTCTAATTAGTTCCTTTGTTCTAATTTATTTTTCCAAGGCTTGAGGTTTGGCATTAGGGTTGTTTGGATGAAGAGGGAAATTTTGCACCAAAGGGCAATGGTCCTAATGGAGGTTACAATTTTCAACTCAACTCACTAACCCAACCTTAAAAACAAGGTTTCCTAAAGTATTTTTGATTTGAAACTTTAATGATTATTTATCAAACTAATTATTTAATTTTATGCTCATCAAATTATTATAATCTTATGACCATATGCAAGTTATTGACCAATTAATCTATTTTTAAATATTGAAAATAAATATTATAGACAAACATTGGCAAATTTACATATTTTCTGAGATATTTTTGCAGTAAATTATAGGGCAAAAAGCAATGAAATATTCAATTTTTCACGATCAATTAATGACAAATGAACAACTATTTACGATGAAATATCTATCAGTAATTAGCTACATATTGATAACTTTATTCTTCACTAAATCTTTTATCAATTTTTTCTTCTTTTTTTTATTTTTTATTTTTTTGTCAAAGATTTTATTTTTCAAATTAACGAGGAAAATTTTGTTGTTAATTTTTAAGTATCTCTTAGTATATATATAATCAAGAGAGATTATGCTTAGATTAGGAAGCATTCATTTATTTCTAATAAAGAGAAACAAACACGTAGGACCTTCTGAATTCTCATATCCACTTTTGGACCCACAAGACAAGCATTTCACGAGGGAAAAGAGTCTTATTTCTATATGATATCAAATGAAACATCCTTTTCCTTTGCTTTATATAGTTCCATTTAGTACATATAACTTTTATGTCTTCCATATCATGTTTAGCAAGCTTTATCACCTAATTGATTAAATTAAATTAAATTGTTTTCATAAATTAAGCTTTATATATTAGTTCGGGCTTTCTATTCTTACGCTCATCTTCAATTGTGGGAGCCTATTCTATATTGTTTCTTACGTTCCTATGATAATTAATACAAGGTTTCTTTGTTTTGCTTTCAAAAAAAAAAAAAAAATTTAAATTAAGTTATTTTCATAAATTTACATTAATTTTGCGTCATACTTTGTTGTCAATCATGAAAATTGAAGTACTATAATTTAGTACTCCCTCCATTCTTTTTATATAAAAACAACTAAAAAATAGTTTAACATTTTTTTGTCATTTTTTTTTCTTAATTTATCCCTAATATATCATTTATTCCTCCTCTAATATTAATGCATCTCTTAAATTATGTTTAAATCTTCAATAAGATTTTAAATACTTTGTTGGCATAAAGGCATAAAGGGAATATAGACAGTTATAAAAATAAAGTTTTATGCTTTGACCTGTAAAGAGAAATTTATTTTTTGTCATTTATTTGGGAAAGTTGTGTGAAAATATGAAAATTGTGTTTATTTAACCTTCTAATTACCTTTGATTATTGAAAATGTACTTTAAATATTACACAATTTTTAAATGTTCGGAGAAATCTGTAAAAATTCCTTTCAATGTGGTCAATTTTAAAATTTTATGGCCTTTTTTTATTTAAAATCCATTTTAATCGGTGCTCATATCATCGGTACAAGCATTTTTTTTAATGGAAATTGATGTAAAAAATCCATTTTTCAAAATTTATTTACATTCAATGTTCATCTATACTTTTTTTTTTTTTTTGCTACTATTTTGAAAATCTTCTACACTAAAAGTTTCACAAAGGATTAAAATAAGGGTAAGATAGATTTTTCACATTAATATGGTTCTCAAAATTATTAAATTAGGTAAAATTTTCTATATAAAAAGAACACTCAAAATAAAAACTTTTCCTACGTGAAAGGAACGGAGAGAGAGAGTATTGTTTATTTGATTTACTAATTTTCTCATTTATTTTATTACTATTGTATACAATTGTACAAATTCAATGTGATGTCACCATATATAATTACAGTCTCTTTTCTCCCATCCTCTTTTTCTCTCCAACCCTACCCATCTCTCCACCTCTTTTTGGGGGCTAAGAACTAAAGATAATTAATTTCCATAGCAAATTCAGAAATTGTAGTTAATGAGTCACAAATTTCAATTAATTAATTTACATAAATGTGTATTTTAAAATTTTTATTATACGATGAAACTGGATTGTATTTTCAAACAAACTTTACTTGCAAGATTAAAATTTTGAAATATGATATTATTATGGAAGTGTATTATTTTAACATTACTCTATGTCCAAGTGTAGAAACAAGCGTAAACTATAGAAAAATATATTCTATAATTATCGCATTATATATAAAAGAACTAAAGATACATTTATTTTCCATAGATGCAAATTCAGAAATTGTAGTTAAATGGAGCTCAACAAGTTTCAATTAATTAAATTTACAGTAAATGTGTATTTTAAAATTTTTTAATTATAGCGAATGAAACCATGGATTGTAATTCATTCAAACAAAAGCTTTAACTTGCAAGATTAAAAGTTTTTGAATAATGATATATTATTGGACAGTGTATTATTTGAACATTACTGTTTGCTAATGTCCGAAAGGTGTAGAAACAAGCGTAAACTTATAGAAAGAATTATTCCTATAATTATCGCATTATATATGATATAGTGAGGCTTGATAGATAGATAATATATGTAATGCTGGAACCGAGAGGAGATATTATATAGTAATTAGAGGATATATATATAGATACTATAAAAGGGTAATATAATTTTTTTCCGTTAATATTTTTAATAAATTTTATATTGCATATAAAAGCGTCACTACAATTGAATGAAAAATATACTAAATAAAATGAGTAAATAACTTCATATATATATATAAAAAGGTTTTTATAATTTTTTTCCTTAATATTTTTATAAATTTTAATTGCATATAAAAGGTTCACACAATTGAATGAAAAATATACTAATAAAATGAGTAAATAACTCATAATTAAATAATCAATCTTAAATCCTAGAGACAAACTACATAGTAAAAAAATTTAAAAAAAAAAAAAAAACATGCATTGCTAAGTAAAAAAAACGTGCATTACTCTAGTTCAAGGATATAATTTTTAAAAAATTCAATAAATAACATTCAATTCAAGGACATCTCTGGTATTTGATAAAAATTCAATAAACAACATTCAAAATAAGGGTATATATGATATTTTATAAAATAACTAGGGGCAATTATGGTATTTTATCAAAAATTAACCATTTGTAATAATTCTGTCCGAGTTTTGAACTAGAGATTCTACTTATGAAATTATTGATTTTGATCCTCTCATCACATGATAGCGTTTTGCAAATTTGGAATTAATTACACTTCAAAACATGTAAGTTTAGAAAGTTGCTTCCCAACTATTTTAATTATATATTTAATTAAATCAGTTTAAGGTCTTTAAGATAATGTTTTTATTTCTGGGTCAAATGAACCCAATTTATATTCAAACAAAGTAAAAAATTAATTTTCAGATTTTCAAAAGACAAAATTTCAATAAACTGAAAATTAAATTCAAAGTAAAAAATAACAAAAAAATTGAAATTCAAGACAAAAACCATAGAAGTTGATTTCTAATATACTTTTATTTTTGCATGAATTAGATTTAATTTTATTTCAAAAACTGTTTTTACATTTTCAAAAGATACAAATTCAAAATTCAAAAATGAAAATTGAATCACAAGGACAAAAAGATAACAAAAAAATTAAAATTCAAGAATGAAAAGGATATTTTTTATTTAATTGGAATTAACATTATATAATTGGAATTTTTATTTTGCTTGTTTTTTTATTTTTGGTATTTGATCTTCTGATTGGATATGTTAAAAATGAGAAAATGTTAATTATGATTTTATTGAGCTTTTCTTTGACGGCTTGAACTAAATATGCAGAATTATGATGGATTTTGAATATTTATGATACTAAA